GGACCAGACAGTCGCCGATGGTCTCGGTATTGAATTGTGCCACTTGCGCGGAAACCGCATTGCTGACCGTGCTGCCAAAGATTGTGCATCTCGCTCCGCTGCCATTTTTACTGACATGTCTGTTCAGTTGGAAAAAGCGATTTTTCAGAGGCAGGCCCAACTGGTGCAGCTCAATAAGGTGATTGGCAGTGAAGAGTATGTTCGAAATTGGTACAAGACTCGCACTGACGACATTGCGACACATGGTGACAGCGTGGAAAAGATTTTTCCCTCTTGGCCTTGGTCCTCCCCTCTCTCTTCTTACACCTGGACCCCACAACCGTTGGAGAGTGTTGCTGCTGCCCTTCGTGGCTTTTTCGGGGTGCATGATGGGAATGCTTTGCTCCATTTTTGGCTGAACTTGCGCTGGAAAACAGGCAAAGAAGAGTCTGTCAGCTACATTGAACTGGCGTTTCTTTTCTGCCACCGAAATGGCAAACTCGAGCGTGTCCAACTCCCTCGGGACAACTTTGTCCATGTTCAGAAAGCTGTTCGTAAATCGGCGGGCATCATTTTTCATGTTGCTAAGCAACTGATTTTGCCAGGGGAACACTGGGCTACCTGGGCACACAAGTGCGGCAGAGCCTTACCCAAAGGGTCCATTGGTTTTGCTCGCCCATGGTTTAGCCTCTCTGAGCTTACTTCTTTTGCAAACATTTTGCTGGATGGACGTAACCAAAAGTTGGAGTCCTGGGCTTTCTGCCCGTCTCTTTGTCTTAATTAGTTTCCTCTTTTTCGTGTGGCATTAATTCGTTCCTGCATCCCTGACCATTGAATCAGAGTGTTCAAGGTCTCCCACGTGATCGTGGATCGTGCGATAGAAGAAGTGGAAAAGTACATCATTTACCATACTGACATATACTGACTATATATATATATATATAGTTAGTTCAGCCACTAAGTCACATACCCCATACAATCCATGTTACCTACCCTAAAGACCCCATCTCTGCGGATATGAAAAGGCCATAGATACCGTACCTTCAGACTCAAACACCTGGGCTGAACTGGTAGTTAGTATATGTTAGTATAACTCCTTTGCAACCACGTCATCAGCATCGGCCCCACGTGCCACATACCACGTATCTCGTTGTTCGGAGGTCCAAAAGCGCCTGCAGCCGGCTCTGCTTCTCAGAGAGCCGGTGCCGTGAACCACCCCGGAACTCTGAGACATTACCATTTTCTTCGGTCCAAACGGCTCGTGAACGGGGGCGATTTTTTGTTTTGTGATTTTGCCGACGCGTCGTGAACGACGCGCTCTCTCTTGACACCTGTGGGGTGGCTGCGCTCGGCTTGACGAAGCTTCGCCCGATTCGTCACAGCCCCATGCTTCGTGGCCCACGCAGGATCTGGCTCAGCTGGCCGAATGCTTCGTGGCCCTGCGCCTCCGCTTGCCCTTGCGGGATTTGTCCACAACGGCCGGGCTCATCGTGCCGGGGGTTTGGGTTGAATCCAGTGGGGTGTCAAAGCAAGCACAGACGCCATCCAAATGCGCAAGACAGTCTTTAGTAGATCCATTTGCCATGCAGCATCTTTCTAGATATTAGTAGGGAAGCACGGGTTCCAAAGTTGAACAGACTGAACACATAGAGCAGAAGTTCCAAAGGGGAACCACTCACTTAGGGACTTAAAACCACTCCTTTGGAACGGCTGCAAGCTCCAACCCTTGTTGCCTGGAACTGGTGGCAGTGTTGCCTGGCGAACAGGTGATGACCAAGTTGGAAGATGCCGGTGCCGAGGCCAGTTCGATTGGTAACATCGGGCAACACATCCTGTGGTCAATCGTTCTGTATTACGATCCCTTGCTGCTGACTGTTGGTGATTGAATAATCCCTTGATGCTTACTGCTCATGAATGAAGGATCGGTTCTGTTGATGAATGACACCCCCTTATACCTGGACGGCAAAAGGATCTCAATATATAGGGAGGCTTTATCAATCACCACGGAACGTGATTAAACTAGTTTCGATGAACAGAGATCACAGAATCCCTTTCTTATTGCCTTTAAAACTGTTGAAACATGTAGTGAACATGTGTTCTTCCTTCCACCGTGCATTCAGTTAGCAATTGATGTTCTGAGTTCTGAGTTTTCTTTTTGCAGCCTTATGCAACGTTTAAACTTTATACCAATCATAGCATTCATACGACGCTGCGCTGTGAACACCCACTTGGTGCGAACATGTGCGAACGGTGTTAGGCTTTGCCCAGCCTGGTGCGGCTGCTACGATGCTGGGGCATGGGCTCCTTGGTGGGGGGCCCTGGGCTTGAACGACAGCACTGGGCTGGGCATGGAAGCCTTGAACAATGTCAGCTGGTGAAGCGATGCTACTTGTTTGAAGCCCATTTGAACGAAGGCAAATGATTCTAGAGGAGGTGAATGGGGTGAATGGTTTTGACACAGAATGCCTAGCTTTTTCGGCCCTGATGGCCGTTCCAAGATGGTTTGGGAAAGTGGTTTGGGAAGTGACCGGTAGGGACTAGTATGAGAGGACGAGCTGCTTAGCTTCATGGGTTCTCCCTTGGGATGTTGCTGTGAACATGTGTGAATTCAGTCCACTCCAACAATCTTCAGCTTTGGATGGTGGCAAAGAAACGGACATGAGTCACTAGGACCAGGAGGCAAGGATCAAGTAGTATCAAGCAGTCTTTCCGTCGAGGGGTTCTGAATGCTTCAAGGATGGCGATTGTTTGTTGGACCACTATGGTCCATGAGCTGTCTAACAAGTGAACTGTAAGGGGACCAATTCCCTTTCCTGTATTTGTCCATAAAGAAACGATAGAAACGAGCAGTTTTCTTGGATCCACCTGCTTAGGGTCTGATTCTTTCCTTTACAGTACATACTGTTGGTCGACGCTCTGGTCGACGCTGAAGAAGGCCTTTATGGGTGGTCTCCACGAGGTGAAAGAGGTGTTTCACCTTGGTGGGGGGGAAGGACCGGTAAACACCAGGTGTTTCAAGCCACGAGATAACTGTGCGGAACGCACCGGGGCACCCTGGTTTTTCCCACGGCGAATGAACAGAAGGTGAACGACCTCGGTCAGACTGGGCTGCTGAAAGGGGCCGCGGGTGCGACCCACCGCCATATCTCCAAGAACGCGCCATGGCCAGTACTACTCCAGCGTCTTTGAGTTCTGCGACACGCATCTGCATGCGATGAAGGCGACGTGGTCAATGGCTGTGTCTTTTCTGTGCCGAATGGGCGTGGTGGGGCCCGGGGGAGGGGTAGGTGGTGGGGTATAGTGGATGACCAGTGAGGGTCAGAATGGTTTTTGCATCCCACCAGGGTGACCGTTCCAGCCGAACCAGCGAACGGACGAGGCGTCGGAGGTGGCACTCTACGTCTACGAGGCACGCGAGCGAGGTCGCGCGGCCAACTGCCGCGGCCTCCACGGAGCGTGTCTTTGTGTTTGTGTGTGTGGCTAACATGGACCCTTTTGATCTTTTTGGAGGAGAGAGAAGAGATAAACTTACTAAAGCAATCCCAATATATCCCATGGAAGTTAACATTTGCAAGAATTGTTGATTTTATATATACATCCGCAAAGGGTTCCATGTCTGGGTGGCTGGAGGATCGGGATGTTTCTTCTTCACTGGCAGATAAGGCCACAGCAGTGGAATTGCTCGCAGGCCCACCTATTAAGAGGATGTTTTTTTGTTGGATCTCAGTTGATATACTACCATTTCCTACCATCATTGTAGACTGTTGATTGAATATAACCCCCCCTATGAAGAGGTTTTACGACTCAGCAAGGGATAGAGTGGATTCGAGTGGATCCGTGAGTGAGTGCATCCAAATGGGAGGTGTTCTTATGTTTTTTTCATCAACAGTCTACATGAGGCACAAAAAGGGCCGGAAGTACACTGTACATGTAGCCGCGTAGCCACGGTCTTCGTGCAGCAACCCACTGGGTGTACCTGCGGCAGCCAAAGCTGGACACAGATTCGAAAGGCCTTGTGAGGTCCCAAATGCGGTTCCAACGGTTTCAAAAGATGTGATTCTTTCTGTTGCCCAAAAGGAAGTCCCAAAAGGTTGGTATTTAAGACTCGTCCGATGGTCCGAGAGTTCTTGGACTTGCTTGAATGAACACAATTCAATGACATTTGGCCCTGAGCACGTTCAAATGGCTAAACACACCAGCTGAGCTCTGTATTCCAGATGTGTTTTGGTCGTTTCTGGTCGTTGTATAGCCCAACAAGTCCAGCTAGTCCAGGATTCGAGGGGAAAGGATCAAAGACACCCACCGTTCGAAAGGATGTGGCTACGGATATGGCTACGGTTCGATCAACACAGTTCTCTACGATACGCTCGAGTGGAAGATATCCCTGTTTGTCGAGGACATCGCCTGGGAACCCAACACCCGAGGGCAAAGTGGTCGTAGCAAAAGTCTCATCCGCGCCGCGCCCTTTCCTCCTTGCAACCTGCAATCCTAGGGGCGGGCGTTACTTGCTTGATCAGACTTAGCAATCAGACTTAGCAATCCTTCACTTAGTGAATCCAGGAGTGGAGTCACCAGCATCACTCCACAAGCAGGCCTGAAACTGAAACCATGCATTGAAAGTCCCAGCATCCGCCCTGATGCCATATAGAAATGGATTATCAATGATTATCCTTATAATATATATTTATATCATGCTGATTTATATAGTGTCCCTGTGTACCTTACATCCTGCTTCAGATCTACTGTCAGCATTAACCAGAAACACCACATATATATAACACTAACACCTCTTGGTTCAGACCATATCTTTCGAACACAGGACCAGCGACTACCAGGACCAGCGTTCCTTCGCTGAGCCAGGAACACATTCACGGCCAACGTGCTGTGGAACGCAGGAAGCATCGACTCGTTGCGGGAAATCGACTTGTTGAACAGAGGTTCCCATATTGGGCCTTTTGAAAGCTACAATTTGGAAAATTTGTTTCCTGGGCATTTGTGTAAACAGAACTGGGCTCACATGCAGCAGCTTCGTCATCAGTCCAAGATGTTTCCTTTAGCTGAGATGGCGTCGATTCCGTGTCAGCAGAGCGCCAGCAGTCGCAGTCGCGTACCTTGGCCTGTTTCACTGCCCTTTGGATACAACTACCCTTTCGTTGAAGTAGTTGGATGATGTTAGTCCCTCTGCACACATACAATCCCCAATTACCTTTGCTGGAGGGCATGTCGGGTCCTACCTAGGGCTGATTTTGTTTGTTTTTGGACACACAGGAAGAAGAGATGAAGCAACATTCCAGATGTGTTTGTTGATGGCAAATTGCCCTTCGTTCATGGAAAACATCGGCCGGGGTGAAATGAAAAGGAGCTTCGAGACGTCGAGACGCTGGTGATGGCTTAGTGTCCAGATCAGAAGGTATCCTGAACACGCCCTGTTTGAGAAGTGTTTAAACTGGAAAGAAACTGGTAGAAGAAAATCACCGGGGTAGACCAGATGGTGCAGCACTTATCCCACACTTGTGGACTTGGTCACGTTGTCATCCATTCACTCTTCGAGAGAAACTATGTACTGCTTGCTTATCTGAGCTTCTCGTGTGGTTGATTTGTGTATGTTTTTGATATATATATATATTGGTGTTCAACAAGTCTTCTGTGTTTCGATACAGTCACTCATTCTCATCAGCTTTAAGCCCTCAAGGAAAATCCACTGACTTCACTGGTCGCAGCATCTAAATCTCATTTGCCTCTCGGCTTTTCAGAGGATCCTCACCGAAACGCTTTGCTCCTGGACCGCCCAGGCATCGCCGCTGGACCGCGGCACCCTGCGTGGATGCCGCGCGCTGTGCACGCGACTCCACGTGGACGGCGCGAGTCCGGCTTCGCGCGGTTGGCGTCCGGCGCCCAGCGAGGGACACTGAGATATTCTCCATTGGAAGGTGTACCAGTTTCATAGCCGGTAGGGTGGACTGTCTGACTGGTCGCTACTTGAGGCAAGAACGCCGCAACGGCCATTGGGTGTGTCTCGATATGATGATATATCCGCCTCAAGCATACTCAAACTAGGTTCGTTGACCTCCTAGACATGACCAATGAACAACTCTACACTACTTACAGGTCTCCATTGGACACCCCTTGGAAGCGCCAGTGGTTCACACCCGGAACATTCAGGTCAGTCATTGGGGAACTACCGGTCCGATCAACGGAATGACATCGACATGGCAACTCACCATCGCACGACGGCTTGAAAAGGGGCTAGATTTGGCTCATGCCTTTGTTTAAGGAATGACTTGGTGAAGCCAAGGAGATAGGATGTGAAACAGGGATTCAGTGCTTGACAATCTCTTCCGTGGACTTACAGGAAATTGAGCTTCGAAGGCAAGTTGCTGATATCATATTTTCCAGTATGTGTAATTGGTTTAATTGGTTCAATATCAAGATCCACCCGATCCACATCTCTCCTCACGACGATGGAGCCAAGTGCAGAGATGACCGTTTCTTTTTGCAACACATATTCGCAAACAGACACAGTGACCAGGCGAAAAGCCACGGTGACACGCCGTTTGCATCCATGTTGGACGGGAACGGTTTCGTCACCGTGACGCACCGCATTCGCCGTGGTGCCGCCATCGCGGCCGCCGGTGCCAGGCTCGGCCTCGTTCGCCTTTGCCGTGGCGCTGTCCGTCCGGAGGAGGTGCCCTCCCTCTCGGCGCAGCGGCTTTCGTGAGATGCGCCCTACTCTCAGGGCGGTAGAGCAAGTTGAAGGCAGTGTTGAACACTGGCCATAGAAGAAAATCATAGAGAAATTATGAAAAACCATTAGAATGCTTTGCAACACCACCTGGCGGGACAGAAGAAAACCCAGGTATTTGCATGTAGTTGCCGGGGTTCCAGGTGTCAATGAACAGTTTTATATAGTTTTATAGATTGAGCATGATAGAGCCATTTCCGGACTTCCAAGCCACGCCATTTCCGGGCTATGCATCCACCACCTAAGGTCTGAACTCATCAAAATCATCCAATCAAAGTGGATCAATGTTGCTATTTGCCATCATGCATGGTCTTAGCAAGTATATATTGATGTTTGTGGGTCATAGCAGCAGCACTATCATCAATCCCTCCCAGGAAAGCTTCAGTGATGCCAAAAGGCAAAAAGAAAAGACGGTGGTGAGTTGGTCTGAACCAACCCAAAGAAAGAGTTAATGTTAAGGAGAGGGACTTCTTGGCAATTTGCCGTATACGCCGTATACAAGTCATGCACCGTAGAAGTCAGCGGGTGGTGGTTCTAGAACAGCCCTAGGTCCAGAGGCATCAGCCCGAACCAGTGTACCGTGTTCTTCAGCGAACCGACTCACAGGTTGCTGTTATTTCCTCTCGGAGTGACACGGCCGGAGTGACACACCTCCGTTGTGCAGCTCTTTTTCTTAATGAGACCACGTGCAGAAATTGAGATTGGAGAGCACCGCATGTATGGTCTATAAATGCTCCATTGCCAATAAATACGGCATGGAACAGGTGGCGATGGCAAGGTGAACAACACTGGTATTATACCTGCTTTGCGGAGGAGTAAGAGGAATAATGTGAAACGTTCATGGGTATTGTTCGACCTCGCTCACCGAGATGTCCATGATTTGGATTGACACAGAGTTCCCAAAGAATCACACTTCATCCTGCAGAGACTTATCCATAAGGGAACCCAACGGCCCTTTATGGCCCAAGAAAACCGTTGGGGTTGTTTACAGAACCAAAAGCAGCCCAGTGCCAGAAGCTTCCACACCTCAACCGGCCCTTCAAAAACTTAAGACATGGACGGGACTAGCTGGAATGTGGGATCACCTCCCCTCCCCTCCATCATGCTTGTGGCTGATTCGCGCTCCGGCTGCAAAAGCTGTCTTGGTCAGGTGGGGTGCCACACGGCAGCTGCACGCGACGAGGCGAGAACCCCGCGCGCCGGGGGTTCAGCGGGATACGGCGCAGCAGTGGACGAGCGGCATCAGGGGTTCTGTGGGTTTTGAGATCCAAGCCAAGTACTGCAGCTTGGCTTTGATGAGTGCATTATATACATGATATACTTATCACGCATAGGTTGGGAAGCAGGAACGCATCGGATTTTTTGTGGTTCCATAGTTCCTTTCTTCTTGAGCCTGCATATGCTCAAGTTGACCAAGACTGTTTGTTGGTGTGAGTTCAAGCCAGGCTTCAGCGTCTTGACCCAGAATGCTCGGGCATGATTAGGCCTTGTGTTTGTCCTGAGGAGAATGTCCCTAAGTCCATCTGCAACCCGCACCAAGAAGTCTCTGAACAGAATGAGTGGTTGAAACCCGAAAACGAAGAATGACCATGTTTGGGGTGAAGGAAAAGAGCAGAGCGTGAGTCGCCAGCCGAACGGATTCTCTTTTGAGGTCCCTCTTCAACCCATCGGGGTTTCACTCGAAACAGAGAGGCTTTTATATAGTTCTTTCTGTCTGTCTCTTTAGATGGGAGCCCAAATCATGTGTAATTTGTTGCTCTTTATGTACAACCTTTCCCTGGGATGACTAGTCAATCATTTTTCAGGTGGGAACCCTTTGACACGAAACAGTTAAAGACCCAACATCCCAGACCACTCATGTTTTTGAGGCCAAGACGTGTTCTTTGCATTTAAACCAAATTGCCACAGGCAGATGCACAGCCCAAAGGGAATTTCGAATCCTCCAAGAGACCTGAAATGGCTCGCTCACGCCCTCCCGCCTGGAAAACCACACACCGGTTCTTCGGATCTAACCCTTTGCGCCAGGCGGCAAGCAGAGCCTTTGGCCCCAGAGTCTTTGCTGGAGCCTGCGGCTCCCTGGGTGTTGGTCGAGGTGGAGCTCGAGCCGGTCCGTCAGACGTATACCAGACATCCTGTGGCGTGCAGGAGGCCACTGCATGAGGCGTTCTTTGTGTTCTCTTTTTGGACAAGTGACAGTCCGGAAATGTTTAAAGGCAAGACTTGGATGCTTGTGTTTGATTTATATAGTTGCATATCGTGTTTGTTTGTTTGATGTTTGTTCAATTTGATCGTTTATTAATGGATATGTTTCGAACTGATGATGCTCAGCTGCTCTGTTTTGGAGCTCCTGGTCCGGACGTTTCGAAAGCCTCTTCGCTCTAAGCTCACAAGGAATGAGATACTCTGATACTCTCCTGGAACTCACAGACGGAAGTGGATGGCAGTCTGTTTGGTGTTCGGAGAATGGTCTTCTCTGAACTCGGGGCCATGCCGTCCACTTCCACTGTAGTTCCAGGGAGTGCTGAATCCGATCACTTGCTGCCCAAAGCACTGAACTTGGATGACCTGTGACAGGCTTTTCCAGACTCTTGCTGTGAATCTTGATTCCTATGATGAATGTAGAATCACCAACCAGGAATATTCCGTTTATTTGTGCCAGTCATCTCATTTACCACGATGTTGTTGATGTGTCCATCCATGTCGTTTGGCAGCCCTGGCAGGCTCCTCCTGGAAGTGAGCAGAGATATTACTACTGGAACCAGGTGGCCCGAATAAATTTGCAGTGGTTAAGAGAAAGATTTCAAGTCAATCACTAGAATCACTAGAAGAAAGAGTTACTAACGTTGGGGCTCGTTGGGGGTGGTTGAAAAACATTCTAGACGTGCGGCTCCTCCAAAAACCCTGCAAACAGCTGCGAGGATTGGAGGAGAATTTCTTGTAGTTTCTTTTTTTCTCCAGGGATCCTAAAGGTCTTTTGGGTGCTGTGAGAATGGATTTGTTTCCTAATCAGTACGAAGATAGCTCTAGACTTAACCCATCGTTTGTGCGTCTTGTTCACGCGGATTTGCTGAAAGTGGAAATACAAGTGCCATTCAACCCAGCCTTGGTACCGCTAACAAGTCCGTATAATTTCACCATCAAAACCATCACTTTGTTGGTCACGGTGTCCTGCCCCAGCTTGTTTGATTCTCTTAATGTGGCCCTTGGGAGTAAAGGAACTGGCCACCACTGTGTTCACATCTTACAACTAGCTTTGGAAGTTTTCTTCTGTGTTGTGAATGCTTTAAGGCTTTGTTGCTTTGATATGTTGCTCCTGGATCTGTCACCGTGATCGATCCAGGAGACGAATGAAACCCGCTGGGACCTGCCAGAAGAGGCTTGGTGCCTAAGAGGTGGTGAACTGGTGATCGCACTCGCTTGGTGACCTGGCTTCCACATGGATGGTGCCTTTGGATGACGCCAATTGATGGAGTTCAAATGTCCATTTTGCATGTCAATGGTCACAATTGTTTTGTTTCTACGTAATTGTTATACGTATCATGGGTATTCATGGGTTACTTAATATATACTATAATATAGTTATGAATTAATATGACTTATAATGGCCAGCAGTCTATCCAATTTTCCCCCAAGGGCTTCCGAGTCACCTCGAAGAGGAACTTCCTCATCCAACAGACGCATGTGTGAGTTCCATGTCGGAGGGATGATAGACACCCGCGTAATTAAGGACTATAGCCCAAAGGATGAACCTGGCCATCTCTTCCGACCGCATGATCCTTCTTTTCCTGTACTCCAGACTGTGGTGACCGTGGGTGTTGCATGCCACGGTGGTGACCGTGGTGACCTCCGTGGTTCTGTTCTTCGGAGCGAGGGACCGTGGGTTTGGTGGCATCACAAGCTTGGACAGACTCGGCGGGCGGATGTCAGTACGGACATCCTGGTGCTCGTTGATGACTCTAATCAGACTAGGACCGGTGACACGATTGTAGCTTTGCTTGTTACTTGTTATTTTGTTTCTGTGTTTGGATTTGTTTAAACAAAACAATCCAACTACGAGGGGTGACTGGATGGTCAGTTTCTTCTTAGAACCACTGAGTTTGGTCTTTTTTGCATGACAGGGGTCAGTTAAGCATTCAAACGACTTTGGTTGTGATATGATGTGATGATTTGCGACATTGGATCACTGGCTTTTAGACATCAGGAAGGAAGGCCCTTCTAGCTTTTAGATCTCCAGAAAAGAATTGCCTCACGCCTTCCGGGGCACCGAGCCTCATCCCCTCGGACAACAAGTGAGGAAACAAGGAAGACACCCTAAGACAACCCCACCGGGCAACGTCTTTTTGTCGAAGAGCCCCAAGGACTTGCCAGGACTGCCATTCAAAAAAAGTGTTGGGTCTGACCCCATGTGCTTTCAGATCGTCTCAGAGCCCTTGGGTGACAAATCATCACCCTGAACAGATGGCCAGATCAGGGAAAACTCCGACTCCGACCCCCTACACATCCTGTTGAGAGTGGCTTTGCACAAGCGCTCGTATCTTCCCTGTTTACATGGCATTGGCCGTATTTGGGCAACTAAACAATGGGAGAGCGCCTCCAAATGAACTAGCAATGGAACCCACGACAGTTTTGTTGCACCATTGTAGGGGCGGGGGGAGGACATGGGCGTGGGTGGGCTGCACCAAGGCGGTAGCAGCGGCAGCGGGAGTTGTGGAGGATCTGCAGAGCGGTGCGCCTGAAGCAGGCAAGCAGTACAGAGCAGCCGACCTTGTTTTCAGACTCTGGGGTGTTGAGGGTGGGTGCACATCTTGAAGAGACGTAAGAGCCATGCGATTTGTGGGTGAAGATCCAAGTCAGCTGCATGGGTGACCATATTCTCATGGATCATATGTGGGTCACTTCTCCGCTACTTGGCGGGGAATTTTGGGGTGACATCCCAACAAAAGATGCTGGATGCTCCTCCAGTTGCCCCATGTGTCCAGTTCCCCGCTAAGTCTCGAAGCAGCGCACGGTCCGAGCTGGTCTCGACCAGCGAACAACGGAAGGTCTCGATCCAAAGATGGAGCCAGTGAAGGCAACGTCCTTAAGTAAGTCCTGTCACTGTAGCAGAGACGAACGTAGAACACCACCAACATGTTGTGTGTATATAGTGATGAAGAAAGACCACGGGCAGCAACAAGTTGTGATTCAGGTGTTTTGGGATGGAGCCAGATTGATACTTTGCACAACTCGATTCTAGCCAAACCAGTGTTCCAGTGTTCCTAAAGGCTGAAGGGAATACTGAATACTTCAGCTTTGGTGATGTTTGCCGGAACCTCTCATGCTTTTCTTGCAAAGGCTGCAAACTCCAGCCCCTTCCGGCCGCTTCAGCTTCACAGGTGCATGGCGCGAAGCGGTGTCGCCTGGGAGCTCAGCATCAGCACTGAAGCGCGGTTTAGCGGTTTCGCAGCTCTTGGGGAGGAGTTTGGATGGTTTTTAGATGCTTTTTGGTTGGTAAAGAGTTGTTTCTCAGTCTTCGAGGCCCGGTCTGGGGTACATTGAGACAGGCCTAAGCCTAAGCCCCGAGTTTGAACATCGGCGCAGGGTCAGTGAGGCTCAAACATACGCAAAGCCTACAAGCAACGAAGTGATGGTGGTGAAGCAGATTAGATGTTTGTTATGTACGTCTGTTACGTCGTCCAATGCAACAAAGTAGTTCAGTAGGTGAGGCAAAAGGCTCCTTTGGAAGACTTTTCTTCTCTACAAAGATGGGATGTCCCAATCCATGTTTTTGCCGGATTTGAGATGACGGTCCAGCAGGTCCCACGTCACTTTTGTCATTGCGATCCACACAGCTTTCGTTTTTTTTCCACACAGCTCTCGTCCTGTCTGTAGGGGTTATCACGCCAGGGAGATGACTGTTTAGGATTGTGGTACTGTAATCCTGAAGCTTTAAACCGGTGGGCAAGGTTAATGTTGTCACAGTTGAACCAACTGCAATAGAATATCGCACTTAATTACGTAGAGATGTAGAGTAAAGTATGATTGTGGTATAGTCTAGTACTAATGTAGATGTAGTAACATGTAGTAACTAGAGGTTGTTTGAGTGGTTGTTGGTCATTTCCCTCTGTGCGACACAGATAGGGCCCTCTGTGAGTCTACCAACGACAACCGAGTCGAGTTCACCGACGTATGTCGACGTCCGACACCACGAGGGACAGCGGAGACGTGTACTATTACAATGAGGCGTGAGGGACGATGGGGATGATCTTGTTTCTAATAGCTTCTTGTTACGTTCGTAGTATGGCCAGGAGCCCCGTTCGTAAGGTCCTTGTTCCTAGTAGTACGGCCAGAAGCCCTGTTCGTAGTGTCCTTGCTCCTACCCCCAAAGTCATTGGGATGTCCAATAGTACATTCTGGTGGGGATTCGGCAACAGTTCCTCCTCCAGCCTCCACGACTGATCACCATGTCGTCTAGGTTCGGAATGCTGGGATTCAGTCGTACCTTCTCAGGTACGGTGATTGGAGACACTGTTATGTAGGGTTGGAGGATCCAAGTCCAAGCACCTTCTGAGAAGGCACTTGGATCCCTAGCGATTTGTAATTTCCTCATCTTGCTTAGATGATGTCAACATCAAAGGATATCATCAAAGGGGTCGATGGAGCGCATGCACAGCAGCACAATATCCGTCCAAGAACTTCACGATTGAAGAACAGGGCTCTTGGGAGTTATTGGCGAAGTCGGCCCGCAGGTGACCATGGAAACCTCCTGGACCTTACCCGGGCAAGAGGATCCGCGCAGCCCGCGGGTTCACTAAGCATATAGTGATCATAGTGGGAAAACGAGCTTGCTTAAGCCACGTATCCTAAGCTGGTGCGTGAGCTGAGAAGAGCTGAGAAGAGGGTGTTGACCCATGTTGTCCTTGGTGTCACTTTTGGATAAAGGATGATTCCTGAGTGTTCCAAAATTCCGGAGCTTGAGTCCATGCCCATTTTCATTGTGGTCTTATTATTGCCACGGGTGACAAGAACCTTTCGTGGCTGAGGAATTTAGTTGAAAAGGTGATATATACTGTATAATAGAACCAGTAATAGAACCGACTTGTTATTGGAACTTCTGTTTTCGGTTTGGCATACCGATGAACCTGCTCGGCTTCGATCCATCGGCTCGGCTCGGTGGTGGCATCTGTTCTCGCACTTTTGGCAGGCTTAGTTCAGGTCCCTTTGTGAACTTTTGGGGTCAACCTTCAGATCTTCATAGATCTTCAAATCAGATGGATCATCAGATCGTTTATGTGGACGAAGCAGTTTTGTTTCCATTCATCCTTGATCAGAACGGATCAGACCGGTAGGTACTGCGAGTGGTATGGCAGAGCGGTGCATGGTGCTTGTTTCTGGCTGATCACCTGATGACCCAAAGCCATCGCTTACATTCTGAGGGTTTACACTTTGTTGTTTCATCCTGTTCCTTTTGATCCATCATAGACCAAAGATGACCAAAGTAAAAGAACACTGGTTTGCAGTGACTATAGTCATGCCAGTGTCCATTCAGAGGTTATGTCGGACCTTTCAACTGGCTCACATGTCTTTATTGTTGAAATGCTTGTTAGAAAGCTGTTAGAGCATCACACAAGTATGATTGGAAGGTCTTGCGATGTTCATTCAGATGTATTCCGATGTACATGCACGGGTCTTACCTCGAACCTCATCCTTAGTTCTCCGTGTGTGAGAATTAACCAAATACTCAAAACAGTGCCCCTTCCTATCTACACAGCTCTCAGGATAGGTGCATAATATATATATATATATATTTTATATAATATGTATTTACTTCATCATCTACCCACCAATTTGTACATAGACGTCCACACATGCCCATGCCCCTCTCAGGAGGAATTGGACAAGCTGGATGCGGACGACGTGGACGACGCGGAAGATCCGGACGACACGGACGATGCGGACGGCGCAGAGGATGTGGACGACCAGGTGCACGGTTGTTCGCCAGACGGGCGTTAGCAGTGGAAGATTCAACTCGTCGAGTGAATGTATCAAACTACAGGTTGCAGCTTTCGATGTTTTGTACGGATGAACATTTACAGTATACACATTTACAGTAACTCAGCAAGTGATGAGAAAGGATCCAAGCATGCCAGAGTTGTAGATGAAGTTGTAGACCAGAGACATATATCCAGTCACCATGCGTTGTTGTTCCACCCGATGTTGACTGAAGAGGCAGTTTCTGCTCACAAACTTGACGAGATTGAAGAGGCCGAGGCCTGGCACCGTTGTTTGGCCCACTTGAATCAAATCATATCTCACATATTGAAGGCGCTTGCGTGTGTGTTGTGTGGGTACTTGTGTTGGCCTTGGATGCTACTGTAATTCAATCGATACAGAAGAACACACTGTATTGGTTGTCTAAACCTGTCAACATTTGTGATGCAGAGATTTGTTCGATGCAGCCACCACTGTACTTAGAACAATCACTGCAAAAAGAACGGAACCTTTTACGTGTACCGAAGCAACCTCTTGGAGTGTCCTGAGTCTTGGAGGATACCTTTATGCATTGTTGACCTGAACTTTTTTTCATGCAGGTCATTCTCGCAAGATGTTGTCCTCAGTTGTCCTCACATCTACAAGAAAAGGTGGAAGGATGTCTTGGAGGAGTCAAAGATCGTCAAAGCATGAGAAGGGCGGTTCGGATCGATCGATGTTTTGATGCGCGAACATTGGTCGTGTTTCGGTCGAACCGTATTCGATCCGTCGTGATCCATTTTCACCCGGTGACCCATTTGTGCAACACAGGGGGAACATCCCTGATAGTGGCTGACGTGGAGCCATTGAGAGATACTGAAAGAGGGGTAGTTCATCCACCATCAATCCCTGTTGACTTTTTGTATTGAAAGATGGGAATTATACATGTTGTCAGGTTCACTTGGCATGCCACGACCACCAGGATTCAGCGATGACGGATCAACACAATGAGATAATGCTTGTGACACACCCACGCCATGGCTGTTTGGGACGTTCACACATGTTCACACACAAGGTCTCCGAGCCTTTTGACAAGGCCCCCAAGGAGGAGGCAGGCGAGGGGAATGGTGAAACTGCAAGCCTGTTGAGACTGCAAGCCTGGTGGGCCAATGTGATCTTAACGTGCAAGAGCACTTAGATAACTCCGCAAGAGACCCGCTTCTTCAGAGGATGTGAAGTCTTCCGGGGGTATGGGATGTTTGGGTACTCGAAGACTCCACGTGGGTCCACGGGTCTTGAAGATGACCTCGCATGGTTCATCACCACTTGGGGTTTGACTTGTGTTTGTATAGGCACTCTCGTGCGATTAGCCGAGTGGAGTGACAACAAAGGGGTGCATCACGTAGGCCAGGCAGCCAGGCAGCCAGTCAGGTTCTCCTCCTCACCGGCGATCAAGACACATCCTCCATCGGTATCAGGCGTGACAGGTCGAGTCATGCTAAGAACGGCGCTGACAAGGCCGTTCTCACTTCTCCTGTGGCTCCAAGTACTTTGTGAGAAGATGTTTGCTAAATACCTTCCGAGGAGGTACTTGGAGCCCTAGGGTCCAACATCATCATTGAGAATTTCTTCAATGCCTTTCAACGTTGAGCCCATTGTTGCATCGTCGCAGGGGATCCATCGTCAGAGTCCGAAACACAGCAGCCCGCGCCACGTGAAAATGCGAATGAATCGAATGAGGTATGCACCATTTTGGGCGTAATGTTTCACTCACACTCGCTGGCCACGCAACCGACTACTAGTGGAGGCCAAGCCCCACTAGGCTTTCCCATCTCAACCATACACCATTTGCTGGCTGCCGGCGTCGTCGAGCGCTGCATTGGTGTCCTGCGGGAGCGACAATACAGCCGATCGCACAAGCTTCATCTCACTCGATGCTTGGCGGTCTCCATAAACCTCAAGGGGTGTTTTCTCCACGAAGAGACGTTTCTTTGACAGACCAAAAAGACGCCTATCACTCAAGGAACCCCAGACAGTGGAGGGAGGGAAATTTTTGGTCTCTCCTGCTCTACACCGATGCCTTTAACGTCCCGGAGCGCTACATCATTTCGGTATCATTGCGCAGTCCTCTTCGATCCCCGCAATTCAGTCCGTCTCTTCTTTGCATCCCCACTTTCCCACATTTCGTCTCTGATCCCAGACTCAAGACGCTCCAAACTGCATGGGTTTCTTGCTCCGGCCTTGCAAACTTGGCGTTGACTTACAGACCGGTAATTGGTCATTCGTTCCGAACTGGGTGAATCCCCGAAACTGGATCCAGAAATGTTGTTCCCTCAGTTCCGAGCGAAATCCAGCGAAGGTGGCCCCGATGCTGGCCCCAACCGCCGGACTCGCGACCGCGGAGCCGGCAAGTGTTGCCAGTTCCTATGCGGAGCTGAAGGCGGGGCCCGTAGTACTGTTGGGTGGAAATGGGACGCCAATCCCACTGGTTAGTGGAGAGCAAGCAGAGAACTAACCCGTGGTCATGGTCCATTACTGTACAAGAAGGAGATTGAAGGCATGTTGAAAGAGATGTTCCATCCGAAGGATACGTACTGAAAGGGAAAGATGATGAGGTCCAGGTATTGTTGAAGCAGCTACCTCGGGCCTTGTCAAGCAGCTGCCTCGGGCTTTCATGATACGGTCCAGTGAGCATGTTCGAGCCTGCTGTCCATGTGGAACTGTTCTCCCGGACCACCTGTTTGACCCATCCTGTTGAAATGTCGGGAACTCTTGGATTACCAGTTCTAGGCAGCAGAGTTGGCAGATCAAACCGATACCAATGCTCGAATATCCTCGATCATTTGGGTGAATGACTGCAGCCCCACTCAAGCAAAGTGTGTTGTCTTGGAAGATGGATTCTAGATTCTAGATGATTCAGCTCCTAAGATCTAAATCCATCTTCCAAGATAATCCATCTGATAATCCATCTCATGATAATCCATCTCATGATTCATCGAAACATCTAAACACAAATTTTCTCAGCTCCTGAGATCTCTAGGCAGCATGGCCGTCAGGTGAGTGAGCTCAAGGATCTCTTGAAACAGAGGGGCCTCACAGTCAGCGGCCGCAAGGTGGGCTGCTTTTGGAGCGATTTCGGAGGGTCAGATGATTGAGATGAGTGGCACACGACCTCCCGCCCCCAATTGATGTGAATGGCAAACATTCCGATTCCTAAAGTACAAGACTAAGACCTCTTGGAGGGCCCTGGCGCCGCCCGCAAGCGCACCTGTCTGGGGCTTCCCAGCATGGACTTCACCCCATCCATGGTCCTTCTACAGTACATCCTTCGACCCTTCAGAAAGGGCCCTGAGGAGGTGAACTTCCGACCTGTTTTGTAGTTGTACATACGTTCCGGGAGAGAGGGGAAAGACCCCACCTCAATGAATTCGATGTTGAGTGGCGTTTGGGGGTTCGTTCATGTTAGTGTATACTTACTTCCAACTTCCCGGGAAACAAGCATTTTACTTCGAGTGATCCCCACCCTGAGAGGCGAATTGAAAGAAGGCAGGGCACATGTATTGACAGACTATCCTGGCAAACGTGGCCTGATATGTGTATTTACACAATGTTATGACGCTTGTTCTGGCATCAAGTCTGGTATGTGCTTTGGCACATCAACTACCATAAAGGCAGAAATGTTCTGGGCTGTGTTCTGACGTCCTTGTTGGCATGAGTTCTGACATTCGTCCTGCCGTGAAGTCTGACATGTGCTGTGACATATGGTCCGACTTCGGTCCTGTTCTGTGTTTTGCCATGTCGCCATGTATGCCGGCGTGTTTTGCCATCAATGAAGGTGTCTATCTTGCATCTTGCATATCTTCTGGCATTTGTTCTGACTGGCAATTGTTCTGACAGCTTATCTGGCATATATCCAGGCACTAATGTGCATATTTTTTGACATGCTTTCTGGGATGTAACCTGCCATTCTATTATTTTCCATGTTATATATATATATATATATTCTAGCATTATGTCTGGCATGTTGTTGACTGGCTGGTGACAGGTTTGTTGGTAGGTGGCTGGACTCCTGCAGTCCAAGACCTGTGTTTCACTTCGGGGTTCTATGCGCGGACCTGCTCGGCACTCAAAAACGTTGCCGCTGGTCGTTCTGCACAGGACGAGTTACTTGCGCGGCTGGAGGAGAGCGAGGCGAGCGGAAAGGGAGCATTGGATACTGGGTGGTTGTTACGTTTTTGTGCATATATATTCATTTCAATCATCACTCTGAATCTTTAAATGTTGGCGGGTTGAAACTTGAACCCACCGTCAAACAAAGAACAATCATCCTATGTTCAAAAACAACACACTTTAATCATCCTTGCAAAGATGAGAACAATGAACGGACTTGACTTGTCAACCCCTGGACAAATATGAATTGAAACATACCTTCGTGTCCAAACCAGAAAACCACGTCATTGCTGGCACAGCCGGTCACCGGCTGGCAAAAATCACCAGCAACTGGATTGACCGAACAAATTTGGGAGACATTGTACCAAGTAGTCTTTCATTGGGCCAATTTGTTTCAAGGAAAGGACTGAAGTGACGAGTCACAGCTGAAGTGACGAATCTTTCATTGAACATGGGATTACCTTGACATTGCCGGTGGATCTTCACAGTCACACCAGTGATATTTTAGTCAGTGTGGTTGATTTAGGGTGGACACTGTGGCTCACATTTTGAACAACATTTACTTCGAATTCCAATCCCAGTTGAAAAGTCCGGCTGAGGGATTACTCGTTTGCTATGTAGATTAATTAGTATAATAACAATATCCACGTATTGTAGTTGATGTTTTCGGAATGTTCCATGCACCGAGTATTTCCAAGCATTTAAATTCGTGCACAAACTAAGCTAAACATAAACCAAACAGGTTTTGTTCCCACAAAAAGATCCAAAGACACGTTTCGTGTCAGATGGTGTTCGCTTGGATGCTTTGGGCTTACCATGCATTGGTTGAGAAACCATCCACCTCCGCAGAGTTGCCATCGCGCCATTCTATGCGTTCCCTAGGCAACGGCTGAACCGCCAAAGGCCGCACCAATTGCAAAGGCCGCGCCAAAGAAGGTGCACTGGGGAAGGAGGAGTTTGCAGTGTTTGCAGGGAGGCTGAAGTTCCAATGAACCATAAATATATGATATAGCATATAGCTAACTGTGTATATAGATCCAAGAGGTATCTAACAGGTATAGACATCATCAAACTTTGGACACATAGTTGTCTACCCGATTTCTACCCTTGTAGCTGTGTTTTTCCATTCTACAATGCCCTAATGCTTCTCATGACACAGGTGCTTTGAGTCCCCATATTTGCAGGAACCCTCGGATGACGTGGAAGAGGCAGCGGTGAAAGGGGGGGGGAATGGGGGCCATTAGATGGCACCAACCCCAACCAAGATGTCTTTTAGATCGGGGTCCATATCAACCACCGTCACTTGGGGCTTGTGCCGTCTAAGAATCTACTCTCAATCCACTGTTGTAGAAGTGGTGGTGGCCAGTGCTTAGATGGCCCCATCAGTTGAAACGGGCAGGAGGTGAAGTGATGGGAATCCCCCGATCCGCGGTGGCTAGACCGTCTGGAGTACGATCCGTCGCCCTGATCCGCTTCTAGTGACCAAAGGCTTTACGACTGTAAATTGAAAATTTGAGGTGTCCACTGGTCTTCTGAAGAAGGAGTTGGAGGCCATCCGAATGCCCTGGTGATCTAGGATTGCATCCATCCAAAAGTGTCAATCAGCATCTTCCGGCAGGGGCATCTTGATGAAGGTGGTGGAATAGCTTAACCCTACACTCGTCTTGCAGAACAGTGTTCATTCTGCACGCTCGATCCCCAAGACCTCGCCTGAAAGATAACTCGATAAGCCACACAGACCCCATTGTGCAACATGCAAAATCCATCAACATCGGCGAAGGGGCGGTCCGCCAGCGCGGCTGGAGCCTCCTATGCTGGCCTGAAGGCTGGAGAGATTTCAGAACTTCAAGTAAGCAGAATAATGATTTTGTGTAGTGAAGTGGTTTTGAATAGTGCAACTGTGTGTTTCATCACGGCAAAGAAAAAACAAATCACCTCACCCGTGACGAGACCTGAGGCAAGCGAGCTGCGAGATCTTTTGAGGTCCAAAGGCCTCAAAACCGTTGGCAAGAAGGAACGCTTCCGCACTGCCCAGAACGCGCTCGTGATGTATGGTTTTTTTTCTTCTCCGGGGCGGAGCCATTTTAACTTGCGAAAGGCTAAGCTGGTCTCCTTTTTTTGCCAGAAAGAGATGAATTTAATATGAACTAACTATGGTGTCAAAGTTGCAACCGGCCAGGTGGCTCATAGTTGATCATTGCTTGTAGTTTAGATGGGATGTTGGGTGCATATGGTTGCAAGATCCGAAGATTCCATCAGGTTTCATGTGGATTGGATTGATCAAGGATTTCTTTCAGATAGCAGGTTCAATGAAGCTGCGGGTCTGGTTACGTAAATGAAAGTGGTGTGAGGATTCTGCAGGTAAGTTCTGAGAGTCTGAATCTGATGTTTAAAGTGCCCATTGTCCCTTGCACCAAACAGTGTGGCTCTACGGGGTGTTCCCAAGCCATGTGTGGGGGAAGAGATTCCTGAAAGCTTGATTGCTGCCAGACTGATGCCAATATTTGAACACACGGTCTTTGGTAGAAGCAACATGCTTGAGGGAGGGAACAAACATAGCGATTTGATTCAATGCCCGTGCCCTTGCAACGATGTGTTCTGTTCTGTGACCAGGCCCCCACATTAATTATATAGACCGTTACAATCAGAAGGTGAACTAGCTTCCCAAAGCCTGCAAGTAAACCCTCGGAGTATGTACACAGGGTGCACCATGTGTGCCAAGTTCATTAGCATGTCGTCCGAGACTCCTGAAGATTGTGTTGCCAAACATCCCACAAAGTCCTACCAGATCTATCTAGTATATCCCAAGAAGTATAACAATTTGTAACATTGAATATTCATGAATATGCCATAAACACTGCACTAAGGGATCCTAAGGGTATCTACTAATGTTGGAGTATGGACTGCTCATCCACTTCCTCTTTGATATGTATTCCCTGAATTCGGGACCGGTACACTGACCCTGAATTCGGTGCGACCGTTGGGACACCGATGGGTAACAAAGACATCTGCCCTCAGACTCCGATTTCCGGTCCCCTCCATTGGACCGGGGAAGAAAAGACCCTCACCCTGTCGGGTTCTTGAGGGCTCGGATTCGGTGGGTTCATGAGGAAGTCGAGTCCACCGACTTTCCATATTTGTGAGCAAGTAGAGTGAAACAAAACCCTTGCACCATCGTTCGGTGGACTCGATGGTGCAAGGTCAGATCGTGGGAGCTCGGTCGACTCGTGGATCGCCAACCTTCTTGTGGATGATTGGTCCTCGAAGATTCCCAACTTGTGGTCCTTCTTGTGGTTCTTCTGGTCTTGTGGTCCTTGTGTTTTGTTGAAACATTTTCTTTTGTTGAAACCTTTTTTCTGGTTCGTCCCTTTCCGTGTGAAGGATTGGTCCTTCATGATGGAATGTTCCCTACTGGTTTGTGGAAGCTTGTCTACCAGTCCCGTCTTCAGGTCCCAGAATCGCTCGGCGGAGAACAGCGGTCCTCGGCACAGGAGGAGCTGATCGCGCGCCTGGAGGAGAACCAGGCAGAATCCGCTCGTTGCACGGGGCGGCCGACCAGTGGCCGTCTCGCACTTCCGCGGGACTGAAGCCGAAGCTGAGCGAAGCAGCCATTTTGACAGTGTAACTAGTTGTTTTGATCTTCTATCACAGTAACTGACTAGATTGGTATAGCTGGTAAAATGGGTACTCCAGCTACAACATATTTGGGGTTAATAGATTTTTATTGTGGGCGGGCTCAAGGAGTCGTTACAAGGATCCACAATTCAATATCAATATGGTCGTGGACCCCTGAAAAACTAGTGTATGTGGTCCAGTCGCGTTCTTGGAGATACTTCGAGTTGCTCAGGTTTCCCTTGATGACTTCTTCGAGCTGGAAGATGCACCAAGGGAGGCTGGAAATGTGCGAGAGTGGCTGACTAGGTGGTATCAGGCTTAGGTGGTTTGCTGCTTTGACTCTGAGGGTCTGGTTTGGGTCTACGATTCCCAGTAATTTGTGCCCATGACAGGCATGAAGACACCACTGACTTTTTGAGGATAAACAGGCAAGATAGACCTTTGAAGCTTCAACTACTGTTTTGTCTACCCAGCAACACAGGTGCGGAAAAAGCCTCCCCATCAACAACAAACTGTTCATGCCACATGTGATGCTGCAGTGCCAGAAGCAGTTCCTGTCTTTTTGACACGGCCGTGATCCTGTCACTCCACCACATTCTGTGGCGTTCACTCACCTAGAGTCTCCATCCAATTGTCCTCCGTTTCTAGTCTTGGCTGGGGCGAGTTGTTTGTCCGGAGCAGCACTTGATCCAAGTGTTTGCCATGGTGTTGTTTAGGGTAGTTGTTCCTTTCCCAATGGGTAAATCCCCTAAACCGGGTCATTCCCGGTCCGACTGCGACTGCAAACGTTGCACGCCCACGTGACGTTTGGCCGTCGGCGCATGACACGCGGGGCCGCCCCGGTCATGCGAAGCACTTCACCGCTTCCTCAAGAGCACTCGCATTGTTCCATGTTATTGCAGTGCGTTGCATGACCAGGGATCCCTCCCAAGATTGCAGGCTTGTAGAGGGCACACCCCGCAAAACGTTACAAAACGCTTCCTTCCACAAGGTCCTGCACATGATGTGGCTCAAAAGGTCAAGCTCAAAACCGCAAAAAAGTCCTGCAGCTTGAGGCAGTTAAGGTCTTTGTGTTCCTTTGCAGCTGCAGGTTCTGGGCACCCTACTGACTTGAAACGGTGTCACAATTGGGCTTCAGACACGTTTCGAGGCAACCCTGACATCCGAGAGTGGTGCGGCTGCTGCTTTTTTGGAGAAGGCGCACGGCCAGATGAAGGGATTTGTGGGCAAAAAGACCGTCGCTCTTCATTTCTTGGCGAAGGCGAAGATTGTTTACTTTTTTTAGAGCCACCATGGTAGTTGCCGACAAAGGCCGCAGGCCTGGCCGCTTGGGTAGTTGATTCTCCGTTTGTTTCTTTTCGTGGAGGATGGAGGATTGCGGATATTTCGGACATGGGAGGACCTTCGGCGGTCTGAGAGCACAGCGGCAGTCTCTGTCATCCGCTTATTCTTCAAACGGCCCTTTGGATGTCAACTTCTCAGTTGTGTCAAACCAGCTACTGTATATAACAAAGAAGTTGGCTAGACTATAGCAGCTATAGTATATAGTCTAGCCAACTTCTTTTGTTACATGCTTTTGGGGGTGTAGCCATGTACCCAATGGAACCAAAACACGCCCCGGGCAACGTGGTCCGAATTCGGCGCATGTTCCGGTCTGCCAGCCCCACGAATTCGGTCGCCTTAGCGAAGGTTCGGTGCCCGGAAGGTTGGCTGGAAGCTTCTGGAAGGTTGGCTCCTTATGCGTGGCCCCCCCCAAGGAATAGAACAGGTCCCGGGTTGGTTTCACTGGGTCACTGTGATGTTATGTGGAGAAGGTCATGTGGAACTGAACATGTTTTCTGAACGCACCTTTTTGGGGTTCTGAGGGTTCTGGCCAAATCCACAATCCATGGGAACTTGCCGCATCTGAGAACACCGAGTAAGAAAAACTCCGCGACCTACCACGTCTGGGTACTGTTGCAGGAAACCGCACAAAAATTGTGGTCCAGAAATATATATATATACTATTATAAGATGTGTTCACCGTCCTGCGGTTCTCACTGTTTTAGAAGGGATGCAGTGTGACTGGGGCCGGTTGGATTTGGCTGCTGCTGCTTGGACCGCTAGGAGTTGAATTTGGCGTCGGGCACCGTCAAGCTGCCGAAGGACCACTGGTGATGGTCGGATGATCGTGCGCGGTCCGGCGGGGTATTCTGCTGACATCATGGGCGCGTTTCCATGATGTTTTGGGTTGGAACAAATGAAGTGAATCTCTGAGGGAATGCAAGAGTCCCTTGAAACATCTTGAAACCAGCATACGTATATTCAATTTGTTTGAAACGGAGTCATTTGGGCAAAAGTGGTGAACAGTGGAGGTGAAGATGTATGCTGCCAAGTGGTTTGCGAAGTTTTGACTGACCTATTATCCCCAAAACCTTGGCGATGTTCCTCTTCAACAGCTGGTGCCCTTGAATTTGGTGCAAAAGTGGCAGCCGTGTCACACAAGTTATCGCACATCCCTGTAGATCCCTTTTGAATGTGGGTGTGCATAACGAAAACCACAAAGGAGCGCTGAAACGGCGAACATGCCGCACATGCCCAAGAAAGCGGCTGTTCAATCTAAAATCATCTAAAATCTATAGTCCCATTGGCCAGCGTGAAACGGTAGGCAATGACTTGGGAGATGGGTGCGCATTTTTTGCCAATAACTTTCAACAGAGGGTTTTCTATCAGGTCTTTCACCAGAATCATTTGGTTCGGTCTTCACCCTGTTTTCTTTGGCTGTCAGCTGTCTTAGTGGCGCAGGAGGCTTCAGCAAGCTTGGCGAGAGAAAGCCTCGGCTTTCTACTGGAAGAATTGATGCCATGCAAAGAATTCTGGGCTTTTTGGATTTAAGTTTCTTGCTGCTGGGAGGGCCAGGGCCAAAATACGACTGTATTTTTGTAGGGAGCACAACAGTTGGATTGCTCGCAAGAAAGAATAAGAAAGATACACACATATTGGATGTTCGTTCTCTTAGGATTTGTTTAAGACATCAAAAGAAAAGACACCCAGCCATCTTAAGGGACGAGACTGTGCATGTGATCCCCATCGACCTTCATCCGACCCCTGCGGTTGAAACCGGCGGCCCGAACCGCTGGCTGTCGGTATATGCATCGGTTCGCTGCCTCTTGCTGTTGGGTTTGTAGTTCTTTTCGCCAAAGACATGCAGGTGTTGCATGGCTGGTGTTTTTTCTATAAAACAATGATTGGACATGATGGGAATACATATTTACACATCCACAGAGGAGCTGTGTTTTCTGTATTATATATATATATTATATCTATTGCATATAAATGGCAGGGGAATCAAGAACCACACTTTCGCAGCAGACTTTGGCAAGTGAACACATGTTCATTATTGATGTGTCCTCTCATTGTGGTACTAGCGTTCAAATCCTTTGTGAAGTGGTCATACATGGTTCAAGAAAGGGTACTGCCTGCTGGACCACATCAATCAACTTTGCTGTTAAACTATATATTCAAAGAAAAGTAATGTTCTTTGTTTTTAAATATAAAATAAAGTTGTCCGGAACCTCCCAAGATTGAGTTTAGATCTTTACTGGCATGCCAAGTGTGTCCGACTGATATGTCTTTAACCGTTCATAGAATTTTGATCGTTCTTTTTGACATTTCCAAGCAAGTCCAGGATTGAAGACGGGATAAGTAGTGGCTCCTTGTTTTTTCACGTTCTTTTTCACCCTCGACTCCACTCCCATGAATTCTCCGCTTTCGGTGCTTCGCGCTCTCCGTTTGCGTTTCGGTCGCAGTGGGTCGCCGAGGCGCAGAGCGCCGCGCGGTCGCCGGAGATCTTTCAGGTTCTTTAGGGGGCCAGCGAGTCGCGGTGAGGGAAGGCATCACTCGATTTCAATAGCCTCACGGCTATGGCGAAAGAAAGTCGAAAAGGCAAATATGATGTTCGGCATTCAGCACTGATGAGTCGCTCCTATAGGAAGAATCATATAGAATCATACACGTCCTAGTCGAATATATAAGCTATTAATACAGTACAGTATATATAGTTTTGGCAGGTTGTTTCACATAAACCATCCACGGAAGATCGCTCAATTTCCCCTTCAAAAAAGTCTACCACAGGACTCTCCATGTCTCCCATTCTTGGATTTGCTTGGGGTGAGGCATGGGGTCGCATAATTGTTTGTTTTTTCCGGGTTCCAACATCAGAAAATCCAAGTGCCCTCCCGGTCTTCAGTGGATCTGGTGGGACGGAGGCTTCGAAGGAGGACTTGCGAGAGACCTTGGAGTGGCTGGAAGAGTTTCTGTGGAGCCAGGAGCCATGTCTCCTGGGGGTTGGCCTGGCACGGATTGTTTGGAAGGTGGAGCTGTTTATTAGGTGGATCTTACAAAATCTATATACAATGGTCAAAAGGTGGGATAATTCACCTGAGATGTGTTTCTTGGTGGATTTTGGCACAATGAGCTTGGTTGGAACAGTATATATGTCATGTGATGTGTTTCTGATTCTTGGTGGATTTCCCCGAATGAAGGGGTATCTCTTTACCCGTGGATTTGCCTGACCGTTTATCGCTGCCTTTCGACGGTTTTCATCACATTTCGGTCGGATTCTCCGAGGGTCGAGCCCGAAAGGTGAGGGTCGAGCCCGACTCCGCAGATTTTCGGGTCTCGGACTCCAGCTTGTTACACTTGTTCTGAGCGAACTTCGGGGTGTCCAAGGGAAACTCCGCGTAACTCCGCGGTCTCACTGAGGTGCCTTTCTTTTTTGCTCTCGCTATTCAGTAAAAAACATGAATGTGTCCCATGTCTCCCGCTGCCCAGGTTGGGGGGTTTTATAGAACACCCCCCTGCCCCTGACTATGTGTTTACTATCCACTCTTGAATAACCATGCCTTGTGTGGTGCTGGAGGATGACATAGGTTTGGTTCTGAGATGTTCCGAGTGTCCTTCGGACGAAGGTCTGATCCTCTCCCATCACTTCGGAAGGGAGAGAAATAGGACGAATGTCACGGCCAGGCCGGCCGCTGTAGGCCGGTCAGTGACTAGCCAGCCACAATCGACAAGGATCAGGGATTTCATGTTGTTTCGCATGAAACGGACCACTTTGGATGATGTCATGACATGTCCAAACACCGGGCACTTCGGATGATGTATCATCATGAAACATCGAGTTGTCTCACACGTGTGTTGTTCACACCGGTGGCGTGCCATCCTTCTTCATCGCCCCATGCGACTTCCATTCGACTCCAAGAGTGCACGGAGTTAGGTTCACCCTTTTGTAAAACAATGCAAACATTTGCAAACGATGGTCGTTCGAAACCATTGCCCATACACTTCATCTCTGGGGTCGTTTCAGGATTCAGGTGATTTCATGGGATTGGAATATGAATCAATCCCGTAGGAGAGTCTATAAATCAATCCCAACATATATTATTTATTGAAATTCCAGATACTTCCAAAACACTGAGATTCAACCAATTCGCGAAAGAAAGCGGAAACTCCTCAAGATCCACGAAAACGCTTTTCTCGATATCTCCATCGGCCGCTTAGTCCGCGCGCCGCGCGAGGACTGGTCCGTGGGCTTCGGACGCCACGCCCTGGCCGAGCGGATCGCTCATCGGCCCTTCGGTCGGTCCAGAGACCAAAACGGCTTTGTCTCACGGCTTCCCAAAGAATGACATTGAAAAGAAGGAACAATGAAAATAAAAGAAGGAACACGTCTTTTGGAAGAGAGTGTTTTGAACAAAATAGAGGTTCTATAAGTATTATATAAATTATATATAATTACTGTAACATACTGTAGTTTATACTGTATATACACATAGACCTAGAGTCACGTCCAGAGAAACTGTGAAGACTTTGTCCAATTGCAACTGAGGCCCTACTTGCTGCTGCAGGGGGTCTTTCTGGCTGGTTTGTGCCTTTTTGTTATGCCTTGGTGGACGCTGGGCTCTGGGAAACCTGTTAACCAGGGGCTCCTAATGTTGGCCCAGCATTCCCTAGAACCCAGACATGACCTTTGTTTTGATACATAATATGTTGGGGTGTTGGTGGTCCAAAAATAGAGGTCATTTAGGTTCTATGGGTAAATATACATGTTTGACTTTGCATGCTGGCACGTGAGAAGACTACGCCTCCATAAAGCGACAAGACGGTGTGGCAAGAGGGTGTGGCAAGCGAGACGCCCTTCGACGCCGGCACGGACTTCCGCTCTCCTTTGGAGCCCATGGGCAGGGTCTGACAGCGCTATTGGTGGGAAAAAGACCACAAGCACGTCTTAAGTCCCAAAAACCTTACCAAGGCCAGAGTTGGTAAACCTGTTGACCAACAATCCACCTCGCTTTCAGGTGATTTGGAAGCGCATTGGAAGTTGCCATGGATCCGTTCCCAGATATACTCATGTTCTTGGTTCAAGAATGCCATGAACATGGTGCCATCTAAAGAAGTCTTTCTCTTAATTACTTACATCGTTGATCCAAGAAACCACATACCACCTGCATGTTCCCAAGACACAGTGGCTATCAAGGATGGTGACACTTTCCCTCTAACGACTCATGTCTTCCACATCGGAGCCTCTGGATGCCCTGTTGACCGTCACGGTCTGGATGCCCTGCGGATCAGCCAACGGAAAAAGACCCTCTCGTCGCATCGAGCTGTCAGCTCTTCGCAGTGTGGATGCCCCCAGCAGGGCTTCGCCAGGTAGATGGTTTGCGAGAGACTTTGGCAGGGTGATCCCAGACTCTGCCAGTGTTGATGTTGATTGGATGTCATGAACAGGTAGGACCTGTATGGAGGGTGTTGTCCTTGTGCCTTTGCTGACAGTTCTAGGGGGGGCTGCAACCAGTGCAGCATGGAATAGACATTTGGAGTGAGAAGGCTCAGAACAAGGCAACCGCTGAGCAGACATGTGAAGCCTTTGCAGGTATGACCTCAAGGTGAATACTGCAGACTGAGTCTACAATGTCTACAAACCTGTTTTGGAGGGATTAGCACGGTTGATGTTCAAGTTCCAGACAGCAGAGTTTGTTCATTTGCATACCAAAGCTGTTTGACATTTGGTTGGTGAGCGCCAGCTCACATTCGACGAGGACATGTAAAACACGCGCCCGGACCTGTATCCCCAGAAACTACAATGAAAACATGTATTTTGTTGTCAGAACTACAATGTCTCTACCATGGCCCCCAGAGTTCAGGGCGTTTGTCTTTGTAGCCCCGAAAAGAGATGAGTTACAGTGAGGGTTTTCATTCACCACAACTCCCGTAATGGTCCTGGTATAGTCTTTGGAACCACTTCCAGACACTCCATGTATGGAAGATATGTCTACATTGAACCACCCCAGGGGCTGGAACCACCCCCCATTGACACCAAGGCCTGGTTGGAGGAGCGAGGCCTTGATGACGAAGTGGTGAGGCTGGCGGCCGCCGTGTGTGTGTGTGTGTGTTGCTCTCTGTGGTGGCAAAGAGTGGTAAAGACAACTGCTACAGGGTACACTATAGTATAGGATCATATTGGTTTGCTTATTTGCTTCATTTTTTGTCATTGATTTTCGGATTGCTGGGCCCCTTCTCCTCGCTCTTTCTTGGGTTGACTTGTTTGTTTAATGTGTGTTTGTTCTGCTTCTGAACAGGGGCATTGGTTCATTTCTGTTTGATCATAGGGAGTGTGAGTCACTAGCTCACATCAGCTGCATGAACACTTTGACACTTCCGCTAGGTTTTTCGAGCCTGGAAATGAATGATTTTCAGTGGACCTGAACATATTAACTGACAAACACTATGCAACATGTGCAATATTGACCTCAGCAACAAGCTGGATCTCTTGCTGTTTGCCGGTGGTTGCTGGTGGGTTCCCCAAGCAGTTCCGCAGTTCCTTCATGTTCCGCCAGAAATCTGGTGCATGAACTGGCCATATTAGCCATGATCGCCCCGCGGCCGGTGGCAAGACCGAGAACACAGGTCCTATGTGGCGGGCCCCACGGCCGCTTGGAGACGGAGCCGAGATCTTCGACGTCGGACGAGATCTTCGATCGGCCTCCGTTCGACCGGGGAGACCCAGCCGGTGCACTGAATCCGCAGCTGAAAAGAATGCCTAGATGAATCCACCCTTCGCATCCCTTCGCCTAACGAAAGAAGAGCTGAAGGCGTCGTCCTTGCTCGGTGAAGGCGTCGTCCTTGCTCGTTCGGAGTTTTCAGCTTGGTGGGTTGACTTCATGGGGCGTACGAGGTCGTTCCACTGTACACCATTATGCAGAGCTGGTCTCAGAGCATGTGGAATGATGAACAGCTAGAAGACTTGTCCATGAAGAGATTATCGGAGATCTATCCAGTGAATGGTTTTTCTACGTTATATTGAAATATGGTAGACTCTTGATTAATATACCCCCTCAATTTGGATGCGCGAACTTGCGGTCCCTTGTCTGACGCGCGCCTTCGTGGGCCCCCTTACTCAGATTGTCTGATGGGTTGCTGTGGGTCTGAGAGGTGAAACCACTACGACGACTCTCGAGGCAAAGAACTCGTAAATAATATGTACAGGGAACCAGGCGCCTGGCCCGACCCTACGCCCCCTCATTTGGATTGAACAACCTCTTCATATGTGAGGTTGATTAATCAAGAGTTTTCGACGCAAAACCGCGGAGCTCTTTCTTTCGTCCTTTTTGGGTGGGCGTCCTTCCAGTGCCACTGGTGAGGGATCGAATCCGGTGGCAAGCCGGCTGGCAGATGGGGGTCCATATAAACTGTTTTTGTGCCATCTACTCTCAGTCTATAATTGCCAGAAAGAGAGGTGGCATATGGAGGGGCGGGGACAAACTGAGACAAACTGATAGACCAAGAAACGGTTAAAGCACCTAACTGCATATTAACTGCACAGAGCATAGAGAACGAGTATAAATTGTTTACAGCATGATGTTGTTCCAATTGGTTCCTTAATGTTCCTTATATTGATTAACCCAAAATCTGCTGGGAACGCTTGGCTTTGGTTCTCCAAATCCTGACGGTGTTCATTCAGTTTTCCACGTATATATATATATATACAGTATATATATATATATGTGATTTGTCCATTGATGGTTGATGACCGTTGATGACTTGACTCGCCGCCTCAACGAAGTGGTGGGTGGGCAGAGGCATTTACACCGAGAGGAGAAACCAAGGTTCGGTGTCCAGGGACAGGGGTGACTGAGGACGGTCTAGGACTCTAGGTGGACAGGGCTCCATACAGGATTCACATTGGTAGCGGAGCCCCTTAAACAAGGGGCAAGGTGTGTTTAGGGGTTCAGGGTGACCCTAGTTGGTGGTGATAGGAAGTTTGGGGGAAAAGACATTTTACCTCCATCGTGTGAGTGAGCCATGGCCCCTAAAGCTGCACAGCCGGCGGAAGAGGCCACGCCAGGCCGAAGCCCGGGATCACTCCCGGCGAGTCAGCTACCTTGGGCACAGATCCCAAGCTTCGTGGCAGGTGACACAGACCTGGATGACTATGGGAAGAAACTGACTTTTCTGGCAAGCATTTGGCCCGAAGAACACATTGGACATTTAGCCCCAAGAGCAGCTCTCCAGTGTGATCCAGTTTCATTCAAGAAGATTTCACGAATCAGCCCAGAGGAACTCAAGTCCAAGAAGGGTGTGGCGGCTATTTTGGCCGCTTTAGGCCTTCAATGGGGAAGGTTTTCTGCAGAAGACCGCTACCTCAAGTTCGAGCGAGCGCTGTTCCTGACGGTTCAGAAGGGGGATGAGACAAATGACAGCTATCTAGCCAGGCACGACGCCTGCTTCGAAGAAGTGATGGCCAAAGAGAAAGGAATCAGCCTCGAAGAAATTCGAGCATACATCCTCCTCCGACATTCAGCCCTCTCCTCGGAAGACAAGAAGCGCATCATCGTTGAGTCGGATGGAGAGTTGAAGTATGGCCCAACCCGAGACCGAGTTCGTCTTCTGGGATCGAAGTTCTTTACGGATCTTCATGGACAAGCAAAGCCCAAGAACAAGACCTATGACGTGAACATCACGGAGACGCCCGATGAGGAAGATACCATGGTGACTTTTGAACCTCCTGATGAACAGCAGGAGGAACAGGCCTTCCAGCTCCTACAAGATCAAGGAGACGAAGACGCAGTGTTCGTGGCCGAATTTGAAGAAGAGGTGATCAATGCTGTTCAGGAGTCAAGTCAACTAGCAAGTTGTTTCTCGGCATATCAAGAAGCCCGTGCCCGACTTCGTGAACGAGTTCGCCAACGAGGATTCTGGCCACCAGGTCAGGGTAAAGGTGGCAACCAGCAGAACAAGGGCAAAGGAAAGAAGGGGTCATGGAAGAACTCATGGACTCCGCCTCGAAAGACACTTGCTGAGAGGATTGCGAACTCAACCTGTCGCATTTGCTCCAAGCCTGGACATTGGAAGAGAGAATGTCCTCAGCGCTTTGAGCGACAGGCCGAGACCACCACCATGGCGGAGACACCCTATGAACCGGAGCAGGATCCGGAACTCATGGACACCTTGCCGGACGACGTCCAGGACTATGAGCCTTGTTCCCTTTTGAGTAAAGAGTTTGGTAGGGTGGTAGGTTCGATCGCACCGGTCGCTTGGAAGGGACTTGAGACTCAGAGGACACACGGGGGAGATCAGATCTTTACTGTTTGGGACAGTGGGTTTTTTGGAAACGACCTTCGATCAGCCCTCAAAGTCGCTCAGAGGCCGGGGCGATTTGAAGTTGCACCTTCAGCCAAGACGCGAATCAATTTTGAGAGAGCCTCCTCACCGATCCTTCCAGCCTTGAATGTCCATGACCAGACTGGACTGGGGCAGATGATGGAAGAAGCTTCCGACGAAGCCATCTTGGACACCGGAGCGAGCCGAACTGTGATAGGGAGTCGCAGGGTTGATGGTTTGGTTCAAGCTTTGAAGGGGGTCAAGGTAAGGAGGGGCCCCTCAAGTTGTGTGTTCAAGTTTGGAAACAGCGGCACGCTCCAATCTCAAGAAGCTTTGTTTTTGCAGAGAAAAGGCAGAGGATGGCTTCGCGTCGAGATCGTGCCCGGAAGCACACCGTTCTTGTTGTCAAACGCAGTTGTTCAAGGAATGAAGGGGGTAATTGATTCCTATAGGGGGAAACTGTGGTTCCACGGGGCTAGACAAGAACTTGATTTGCGGAAGGTTCGACGGCGTTTGATCTGTGTGAGTGTTACTAGGGATTTGTTGAATGTTGATTTTGATGATGAAAAGGGTGAAGTGTTTCATTCAACCTCAAAGAACACAAACACACACCACAAGTCGACCCACCACGTGCATGAGAGCAGAATTCAGAATGAGGAGACACCAAAGAAACAAACAGAGTTCCAGCATCCCACAGACTTGATTCAGAACGATCATGCAGCCCAAGAGACAGCTCAAGTGAACATCCTTTCGAAGCCCGAGATCGACATCGACGAGACCCACGATCATGGCAATGAAGAAGACAATGGCTCAGCACTCCGTGGAGGACGAGCTGTCGGGGGAGGAAGATCCGACATTGATGTCGGCAACCCGACAGGCCTTGGACTACACCTACATGATCCCACCGGGAATGACCAGCCTCAAGCAATGGGGACAGGAGAAAATGACCACCGGCAAACATGCCGGCCAGTCATTCGATGTGCTGTTCGAGACGGACACCAACTACGTGAACTTCATCCTGCACCACAAAAGGCTCACAGGAGTCGACATGCGCAGCTTCCAGAACTACTGCATGGCTCGCCGGAAGAAGGAAGCAGAGGCATCGCAAATGCCGGTGATGAAGACAAAAGGCAGAGCCTCCACCGAGAGCGAGTGGAGCCACATCGACTGGGAGACGATGGAGCACATGGATGCTCGTCAGACCCAAGGACCGATGACCAAGACCACGGAGAAGACTCCAACCGGCTCCAAAGGGACATCCCACAAGAGGGCTCTCCCAAAAGCCAAAGACGAAAAGCCAATGAACATCGAGCCAAATCAGCAGCACCTTCATGCCCTTCAGACTCAGATCGCAGTGCTGCAGAGGGAGCTGGCTCGACACGGCTACGAGGACCAGAATGTCGCGCCGGCGCCGGAGACACCGTGAGACCCGACAGTGAACCGAAGGTGACAAATTCGAAGACTCCAGTTGCTGAGGTCCAGAAACGATTGACGGAAGTTGTTCAAACGATTGAGGACGGGTTGTCCATATTACCTACAAAAGGACCCTTTCGTCAGCGACCTCAGAAACCGGTTTGTGATCCAGCGAATGATCGGCCCGTTGACCTCTTGGAGATCTTTTGTTTTCCCCAATCCCAGATGACCACTCACATGAATAAGATGGGAGGAAAAGGGTTGAGATTTTCTTTAGACGATGGAGATCTTTCCACAGCAGAAGGGGTCAACAAATTATGGACCTGGATCTATATGTATGAACCACGCCATATCTGGACGGCTCCAGACTGTAAGGGGTGGGGGGGGTTTTCCCGACTGAACATGACCCGAAGTAGAGAATCCGAATCACGTATTTTGTTCATGCGAGAATTCGAACGAAGGTATCTGAAGTTATGTAATGACATCTATTGGCATCAAGTTTCTCATGGACAACATTTTCATTTGGAGCAACCTCAAGGTTCAGACATGTTGAAGCAACCAGAAGTATATGACATCATGTCGGGAACTTTGACAGCCTCCTTTGACCAGTGCACCGTTGGCAAACTGCGAATTCCGGGAACTGACAAGTACCTTCGGAAGCGCTCCAACGTCCAGACGACCTCCAGGTTGATTCACCAGATGCTCCATGGCAAGTGGTGCCAACAAAAGCATGAACACCAGACCATCGAAGGAAGCTACACATACCAGGAAAACAGACAGAACATTTCAGCATTTGCCGCACGATACACCACAACCTTTGCACAACACATGGTAAGGGTGATGATTAGGAGTAGGGAGAGTGGAGAGAACCCCCTTGTTGTGGAAGAGTTGTTGGCAGGTTTTGAGGCTTCCGAAGGGCAAAAACGATCGGCAGATTCTCGAGGAATTGCTCTCGAGTCTTTGCGGCTGAAGCGGCGGAGATGCGATTTTAAGCAAGCAAGACCACCTGCATTTGATGATCACCAGGACACATCATGGGACGACCTGATGAAAAGTGTGTCATCCGACACGCCTCGTGTTGGGGTTCACATTCTTGGAAGGGAGTTGAGTGAAAGGATTGGATCGAAAGTCCCAGAGATGGATGTCCGATTGGTCATTTCATGTCGTGGAACCGACCGATATCGCATTCCTCCGAACGAAAGCGACACGGAGTCCATACCCCTCAGGAAGACAGTCTATGTACACAGACAGACTGGGGAGTGTGTGGACACGGGTCCCCCAGAGGAATGGCTCAAACTGAGCAAGCTGAAGCGCATCCGAGCGTGTGGACCTTCCAGACTTGCAATCACCATTTTTGGGAGACCACGGGGGGAAGACCAAGGGATGATGCCTGTCTCTAGGGAACCCCAGGAGGTTGTGGAAGGAAAGGAACTGGCAAGTCCGGATCCCACCGGATGGGCTCCCAGACCAATCGCGGTGTCAGGACCCGCCTACAACCGCCTGTCATCCGAGAAGCGCCAGGATATCAGCAAACTCCATCAGAATTTGGGACACCCCTCGACTGATCTTTTTGTGAAGTTTCTTAAAGAAAGGGGATCGCCTCAAGATATTTTGGATGGAGCAGCTGAGTTCCAGTGCGCAACATGTGCGGAAACTGTAGGAGCCCCCATGTCAAGCAAACCCGGAACCATACACCGTGAATTGGACTTCAACGATGAAGTAGGATGTGATGGGGTGTATTGGAGCGGGAAGATGGGAAAGAGCTACTATTTTGTTCATTTTCTAGATGAGGGTACGCTGTTTCATTTGGGGACTCCATGCAATAGAACCACCGAAGATCAGATCCGGGCATTTGAGGATACCTGGTTACAATGGGCAGGACCATGTAAAACCCTATATGTTGACCCGGCCGGAGAATATGTAACGGACAAGTGGCGGGATTTCCTTCAAAAGGAAGGGATCCAATTGGCAATGACAGCTGGCGGATCACCATGGCAGCTAGGTCGAACGGAAAGACATGGAGCCATCATAAAAGGGATGTTGACCAGAATGGACAACGAACAACCAATTCAAAACGAGGAAGAGTTTCGGGCATGTTTGAGACATGTTTTTGCAGCAAAGAATTCGTTGAGTAGGGTCAATGGATTCACACCGGAGCAGGCTCTATTGGGTAAGGCTCGAACTCTACCTGGCTCCCTGGTTTCAGACGACCTTGCAGGTAGCCATGTTTTGGCAGAGAGCGGAACTCCTGAAGGAATCAAGTTTAGAGAAAGTCTGTGGAGAAGAGAACAGGCTAGAAGGAGTTTCATATCTGCAGATAACGATTCAAGCTTTCGCCGCGCGTTGCTTCGAAGAACACGCCCGAGTCGTGATATGTATGAAAAGGGGGATTGGGTACTCTACTGGAAGAGGACCCAACAAAGTTCACGGAGAGAGAAGGGTAGGTGGTATGGTCCCTCACAAGTGATAGCTGTTGAGGGAAGCAGGGTGTTGTGGTTGAGTCATGGGGGAAGGTTGGTAAGGGCCAGCCCTGAACAAGTCAGACCCGCATCTCTCCGAGAATACCACCTCCTTCCCAAAGACTCGTCTGGGGGAGTGAAACCTGAAGAATTGGCAGAGGGGAAGGGTCCTAGGGATTTCATTTCACTTGAAGGGGTACCTGATGAAGAGTATGAACCCAGTGAAGGTCCCAGTGACATGATTGATGTTGAAATCCCTCCCATTTCCCAGCCAGAAAGTGAAGCAGCACCCCCAAGTTCTCCAAATGAAGGATCGGCGCCAGGAGTGCCGATTTGGGACGGCGATGATATGCAAGTTGACGGAATTGATGTTCCCGTCCCGAGTGATGATGAGCTGTTTGCGTTTGGAGACGACCAGCAATGGTCTACAGAATCATGCTTTGAGATCACCTTCAAAGACGGTCCCTGGGCTACCCTCACCACAGAAGAGTGCTGTTCATGCATGCAGGTGTATGAAGCCATGTTGACCACCAATCCAAAGAAGGAGAGGATTGAGGTTAGGTGGGGGGACCTGAGTGAAGAGGACCGAGCCAAGTTTTCTGCTGCCAAGAACAAAGAGCTCAAGGCATGGTTGGACCATGGCACGGTCAAACGTGTGACGGCCGGAACCCTCCAGCCGGAGGAAATTATGAGGTGCAGGTGGATTCTGGTTTGGAAACCCCCTGAAACCCCGGGTGGAGAGAGGCGGGCTAAAGCGAGGTTGGTAGTTTTGGGGTTTACTGACCCAGGGTTGTCATATGTCCCAAATGACGCCCCCACCTTGAGTAAGGATGGAAGGATGCTATTGCTCCAAACCGTCAGTAGCAGGAAGTGGAAGCTCATTAACTTTGATGTGTCTACCGCCTTTCTCAAAGGGGAAGGGGATGGCCGACGTCTTGGTTTAGAAGCACCTCCAGAGATGGCACAAGCTCTTCAGATGAAAGGAGATGATCAATGCCTCCTTCAGGGCGGAGCCTATGGTCGAGTGGATGGTCCTTATTTGTGGTATACTTCGTTCAGGAAGACACTTGAGAGCTTGGGATTTGTTTGTTGTCCTTTTGACAATTGTGTATTTTCATTGATTACCGAGGGACCAGACCAAAGACCTCAGGTTCGTGGGGTGCTCGGGATTCATGTGGATGATGGGATAGGTGGAGGTGATGAATACTTCCACACGGTCCTGACAAGTCTCCAAGAAAAATTTAGTTTTGGTGCTTACCGGGAGAAGAGTTTCATCTTCTGTGGGGTTCAGTACTTTCAGTGGGAGGATGGTTCCATTGAGATCGACCAGAGGGATTACATAGAGAAGATTTCCCCAATTCAAATCCCCAAGACAAGAAGAGCAGAACTCCAAGACCCGGTGACCGAGAGCGAAAGGCAGGAGATCAGGCAACTGGTGGGTTCCCTTCAGTACTCGGCAGTCAATACTCGACCGGACTTGGCCGCTAAGATAGGCGAGGTTCAGTCAAAGGTGACAAGAGCGAAGGTTGAAGACATGCTCACTCTGAACCGCGTACTGCATGAAGCAAAGACACACCCAGTATGCCTGTATATTGTTCCTCTGCCGTTGAACACTCTCACATTTTGTGCATTCTCGGATGCCTCATTTGCCACATGCCGAGAGCTGTCGTCCAGACAAGGCCAGATCATTTTTGCGACAGATAAGAGAATCCTTGACAACCAACCAAGTGTGGTATGCCCGATGGCATGGTCTTCACGGAAGATAGCTCGTGTGGTGAGGTCAACCCTCAGTGCAGAAGCAGTCGCTTTGAGCTCATGTCTTGACAGACTGTCATGGCTCCGTTTGTTTTGGAAATGGCTGGTTGATCCATCAATTGACCTCACAGATTGCAGCCGAATTCTGAGCGAAGATCATCCAGCGGCAGTGGCAACAGACTGCAAGTCTGTATATGACATTGCAACCCGAACTTCGGTTCCCTCATGTGAGGAATATCGAACGTGTCTTGAGTGTTTGTTGATTAGGGAACGCCTAAAGGAAAGCTGCCGCATCCGCTGGGTGAGCTCAAGAGCTCAACTTGCTGACTCATTGACGAAATCAATGGACGGTTCACTACTCCGCCTGTGCCTAAAGGAGGGACGTTATAGCCTTTTTGATGAAGAGTCCACCCTGAAAGAGAGAGCTGATCGTCGGAACAAACTCCTATGGGTTAAGAAAGAAGGGCAGGAGAAAAGAACATAGAGAATTTTAACGTATGTGATTTGTCCATTGATGGTTGATGACCGTTGATGACCGTTGATGACTTGACTCGCCGCCTCAACGAAGTGGTGGGTGGGCAGAGGCATTTACACCGAGAGGAGAAACCAAGGTTCGGTGTCCAGGGACAGGGGTGACTGAGGACGGTCTAGGACTCTGGGTGGACAGGGCTCCATACAGGATTCACAATATATATAGTATAGTTGTAATATATATATATACTCCCTCTACCCAGAGGTTTTACAACATTGGACACACCATGCAGCTTACACTCAGCTGTTGAAGGCTTATAGCGGTTCCTCAACTGTTTTCAAGCAAGTGACCAGACTACAGACATCTATAGACCCAATCTCATTCGGGGATTTCACTTGTTAAAAGCTTAATGGCCAGTTCTTGTGGCCAACATCTTCATTAGGAGGGGAATCAGCGCAAGATTGAATAGTTCGATCCCTCCCCTTGCTTGAGAGCGAGCGGCTCCAGGGCTCCGGAGGCCGACCCCCCATGCTCCATGGCTCCGGAGGCCGCCATGTTCCTTGGAAAACCAGCCCAAATGGATGGTGCTGTCGATGGTTTTCCTAACCCATTCTGGCAGCGTCCCAAGGTCTGAAGGTAGGTCTGAAGCCACCGCTGAGGCGGTGCCCTTTCCCTGTGAGCCATATCCTTGGATCGAGCTCCTGCAGTTGGGCAGACCACGTCCCTTGGACGAGATCGAGCTGCGTTTCACGTGACGGCGCGGACGGCCTCATGGGAGGTGTGTGATGTTGTGAAAGGTATGAGCTTTGGTGGGCTTTCTGGCTGCTTTGGGGCTTCTTGCGGCCCATTTTCTTAATCAGGTGGATCGCAGCAATGATACCAATTGGTCAATGTGTATTCAGTGGAACCCCAACATTCTTGCCTGAGTCTTTGTGATGTCTATGTATGGTCACTTGAGGCAGTTTGGAGATCCGGTGCTCAGTGCGTCTTAGACTTTGCGAAACATGGTGACCAATGCTCCGGTTGTTTGGGGTGGCCAATTCAATCCAAATGATGGCCACACAGTTTTGTTGAAACATGTTAACACATTAGGTTGTTTCTGCACGTTTATGTGTTGTCAAGAAAGGACCCAGGTTCAAGCTGGAGAATCCCAGAAGTCGTCTTATATATATATATATATGCACCCTTTCAGGTGCTTTTTCAGGACCTGAAAGGGTGCAAAGCCCAAGCACCACTTTTTGGGCAACGCCGTATCTAAACAAGCACAATATGGAATGATTTCGCCGAGAGCAGGGACGGAACGAACGATCAGGCCGAGCAACGAACGAACGAAAACCAGTTCCCAAAAAGAGATCGTTCCGAATGACCTATCAATAGGCCGTTCAATCTCGAAAATGATGAGGCCCCCCCTGTGATTGGTGAGGGATTGGGATAATTGGTGCCCCAAAGACATGGCGAACGAACAAACCCTAGGGATCCAGTCGTACCTTCTCAGAAGGTGATTGGAGGCACTGTTATGTCGGTATGGAGGGTCCAAGTACCTTCTGAGGAGGTACGACTGGATCCCTAGGGAAGCGGTGTCCCCATGGCTTTCAACGAGACCTGGACTCCCTGCACGGTGGGTCGGACGACTCTCCCACCGTAAAGCTGGCTAAGGGTGTCCGTCAGCGTTATGACATGGTTGGATCAAAGCCGTTTAGTAACCACAAACACCACTCCGTCTGGGTGGTTTTGCTGTTTTTTTGGTTTCGAGATCCCCTTGACATCCAAAATGCGTTTTCCCTTGACCATAGTGCAGGGTGCAGGGTGGCATGAGACCTGAAACACTTCTATTGCGTTGTGATGAGACCTGAAACTAAAACGATGGTGATGAGACCTAGATCTGCTGGCTTGAGGCTTAGAAGCTGCTGAAGCCTGGTTGCAGAGCCACCTCTCCTGGACACCCGAGAAGGTGCCAAAAGTGGTTCCGCAGCCCATCAGGGACTCCACAGATTCAGTCTTAACTGGAAGATTCAGTGAACAGACGTTTTATATGATGGATGTGTATTCAAAACGAATTGAGACACCTGAGACCTCCCAAGTTCGGCCCCCCTGGAAGAAGGAACATAGGCTATGACCCGTTGGTTGCGGGGTCTCCCTATCAACACACTCACTCATAGGTTAGTTGGATTGAAATAGAGAGCCCCTGAATACAGTTCCTCCAAACAGGATAGAATTGGATCTACTGGGCATTGTCACGGTACCAGGTCACCAGTGTTTCTTGAGTTGGGTCTTGTCTTGTGGAGTGGGTCATTTGACACCAGAAGGGGAAATGCGGCTTTCGCGCAGAAAGGTTGAAACTAACTTCTTGCGCGATAGGGTGGAGATTATTTGTGGAAGTCATCTGCTAAAGAAACGCAGTGAACAGTTGATGATGAAAGTCGTAGGTCTTGAGTTGACTGCCCCAAAGGAACTTCACTCATGCGTTCGCTGAAAAGACTTCACTTCTTCTCGGAGCCATCCATTGAAACCTGCCCTGCCAGATATGTCTATACCTGGACCTTCAAGGGGTGTCCTGGCTGGAGGTCCCTGATCGTGGGCTGGGGCTTCCAGCCAGGTGACCCCGACATGAAGGTGCTACCAACCTACGACGAACCATGCGACCTCCTTGGACCCGTGGATCCTCCCTGCATGTTCGGACTCAGCAGCAGCTCGGTCACTGGGGCACTGAAACGGGAAGCTCAAACAGGAAAGAAACACCGATCTGGCAGCAGCCAGTTCGGGTGGTTGATCAAACTCCCGGACTGTTTACTATCCAAGAAGTCATTGTTTTTTTTTTTTTTTTTCTGGTGCTTGTACTTGACATCGTATGGACCAGTGAGATGGCGGAGATTCGATTCCGCCGGACCGGTCGTGTTTCAGCACAGCTACGCACCTCTCGAGCTCCGCGTCAGGTCTCCAAGGCTTTGTGTCAGGAGCCGTGCGCCGCTTCGTCCCGCGCTTCGTCCGGCGCCGCGTGAAACACGCGGTTCCGCGGGGTTCCGTGCCTCCGAGGCATCGGAGGCCCGAGCGAATGATGTGAAATGTGCAGTGATTTCCCCATGGATGGTCAGTGCTGGCACATGGAACGAATGGGCATTCCAGTATCACCACCGATGCGAAGCATTGGCACCAGGTCATCGTTCGGAGGCTTATTTTGATTTTGTGCGGGTCCGCCCGGCGGAAGCGGGGTCAGAGGATTTAAGAAGACCAAGACAGTGGGTTCGCCCGACGGCCTAGAAATGGATGGATGATCAAGTTCCCTCAAGACCCCACAACATTTTGGCTATACCTGGCTGGGCTGGTGAACAAGAATTTACTGGACCAACATTAATTACATTTCGGAGTCTTTTTTCCTCACTTTCTTCTCAAGATGGATGTTTGCCGTCTATACCATGGTTTTCTGTTTTTTGTTGCTTGTTCACCGCGGGGCGGGGGCAGTCTCCCTGTTCGACGGATCCGCAGCTTCCTTGGCTCAATGCCGCTCCGACCGAAAAGCCCGCGGGGACCAAGCCCACCGCGGGGGACGGTCGGAGAGGGATGCTTTACGAGAGTTTGATAGCATCTGGGCGGCACCTGGGTGGTTTGCAAGCGGTTTTAGATTGTTTAAAGTCGAAAATGAGTTCCAGGGCGATGGGTGATGGGACGATGCAGATGATTGCATATTATATATTATATATATGATGTGTATAGCAGAACTATAGAATAGACTCTATACTACAGCTATAGTAGAAATATAGTATAATATAGTACTACAGCTATAGACCAAGAGTTTTGAATCACTCTCGGCTATGCATTCCAGGGGACTCAGAACTGAGACCGGACGAGGCGGACGGAATTTCTGAGGGCCGCTTTGGGTTGGAAAACTGGCTGGCAGGACATGGAGTTTTCCGATGGTAGGACGCTTTGACCGGATTCACATTCGGGATGGCCATTTACGGTGTTTAAGCTCCCAAAAACCTGGGCCTGAATTTGTCGGGGAAATCGAATATAGGCTTCCCTGCCCACCACAAGCTAGCTAAAAGCGCACAAAGAGCACATGTTTGTTCAAGGTCTCTCACCTAATTAGTATACTCTTGAGCCTCTTGAATCTGTGGAAACAGTCCAGCTTCGAGAAGGCACCACTTCTACTCAGGGCATGATAGAAGTGAACAATTCCAATTTGCTGCGTGTCTCCCGACTCGACTCGACCATTCTCAGGCCGGCACCTTCTTGGCCACAGCCGTCCCAGATGTTGCTCGGTGTGTAGACTCCCCCGGAAGGAATCCATGAAGGGTGGAAGCCAATGACCAAGCAGAGTGGTGTTTGTTTTCCACTTCCATGATGATTTCATTTGTTTCCATTTCATCGGTGACTATTTCTTAATGCATCAATGCATATATATATATATCCTTGCATATCCTTGCCATCTTCGGAATCCTGATTGTTGGCGAGATACGGGCCGCGGGGAGTTTGTTGGGCAGAACATATGAAGGGGAGATGCGGTGGAGAGCCACTTGCTGACAATTGAGAAATGGTGGGTTAGAACCTCAATGCTGATAATAACGGCCAATGTTTCCACGAGGATGGGTCAAAGATGGTCCAAGTTTTTTCGTGCAATTTATATACCTGCACTTAGTTAGCTTTTGCTACGCTACTGGTATATGGTGAAGGGAACCACTTGAACTGACCAGGGTCAATCAGGGGAACCACTTGACCGATACCCTGGTCCTCGACTTCAGAGCGCCAGTGCAGCCGGGCTGGACCCCTGAAGAAGGTTGTGCCACTCGTTCCGCTACTTGTAGGAAGGCACTGTTTTGATGGCCCAGTTGTTGTTGCAAGGTGGAGGCTTGGATGTTGATACAGTGCTGAACGCGAACTCCACGTCCACACAATTTGGACCTTTGGTCGTGTGTTAAGTTGTGTCACTTGTAGCTGCAAACAGCTACTCAAACTGGCCACTGGTCTCAGTATGGTCCACAAAAGTGCGTCCACAGGCTCTAGTGATCATCTTCTTCTCTGGCATTGGATTCAGTCGGAACCTCTTCGCGCTCGTCGCGCGCGATGACCTGCACCTCCTCTCAGGCCGCTCGTGGACGGACCGTGACGACCGACTTGTCGCTGGTGGGGGGGAGCTCGGTCGGTGGAACTAGGAGAAAGGAATGAGGATTTTTTGCGGTGGAAGGCTACTTGAGTAGTATAATTGGATGTCATTTGCCACCACGTGTTTTGGGAACCAAGTGGCCGATTACTATGTTTGAGAGGTGTGGTAGGATTGGGAACCAACAAATATTCTTTTGAGAGGGGTTGTCTTATATATATATGCATATATGTTGAGTATTATGTCTGAAGCCAGCAAATTCGGCTGAGTTATTTGACCAGGTTTCCCTTCAAGATTTGAGCCGATCCAGTGTGATTGAATAATGAAGCCTCCACCTTCAGGTCATGTAGGTGGAAAGCCTTGGAAACTCGTGGGTGTGAACATGTATCCAACATCCATCCCAATGGTCAAAGCAAACTCTCAAAAATATCCACCCATCCTTGATTCAATGTGAAAGTGGAAGAATCCAATGAACACCTGAAAAGACAAAGTAAACAATCACACATCTTTGATTCAATCCTTGATCTCCTTCAAACAGACGGAGGTGAAAGGTGAAAAGGTGACATGGTTTCCCTGAGAAAGCGGTTCGGAGCGGTTGTTGTTTGGGTTGTGTTCGCACGAGTGCAAAGACAAGAATCACCTAGTAGTCACATGAATTTGGTTGAATAGGTATGATTTGAACGTGTTTTTTTTCCATATCATATAGGGTTCTTAGTTCTAAGTCCAACGGACTTCTGGTTTTCATTTGCGCTGAACGTTTCATAACACGTCCTCAACCTTGCATATCCACCAGCGCCGCAGTGCGCCAATGGAGGCCTCAGCGCACTGATTTCCATTGCAGCTTTCCTTTTGTATTTTATCTTCGACATTGGAAAGGTGCACCGGGGCGAAGGGGTGGTATCTTGAGTGGCGCAGAGCGATGTGTCATGTGTCATGAAGAACATGCGACTGTGCAATTGAAGGGTGGAATCAAGTCACAAAGTGCGCCCTTTTTGGGTCTCATGTCATTCATCTGCTAAAACGTCGAGGTCTGACCGTCCGTCTGACCCGGAGAACACCGGTGTTCCCCGCCTCGGCGTCTATTGCCGAACGCTGCAGCCCAGCCCAGAACGCTGCAGCGTTGTTCCGCCACGTTGCCTCATTCTGCCTTGAAATTTGCTTATGTTGCTATGTATTTGCATTATGTTACATTAACTATTTCCAGCAGTAGGTGTTTGAAGTCTAAAAGGAACCAGTGACCTATGTGGTGACGGGCTGGTCGAAACTGTGTTCATCCCTGCAGGTCGCTTGTGTTGAACAACAAAGGTCGATGATAATATGAACAGCCATGCTGCGAGATTCATGTTGAATCAACCCACCATACATATATAGCCCCTAGACGAGGTGGAGAGGTGCCGATCACGCACCTCTTAGCTGTGTTTGGTTTGTTCTGATATGGCGCCATGGGTCATGGCACCCTGAGCCCTGTTTACATTGCTACTGTAGGACTGTAGGTGGTCCTCCTGTAGGTCGTCAATTCTGTTCCTTTTCCGTGGTCAACCAGCGTCCCCAGTTTGGACCCGGTCTACGACACCGATGTGGAGCGACGCGGGGTGCGACATGGGAAGATGCGGGACTCAATGATGCGGGTGCAGTCGCAGTTCATTCCCTTTAGAGGTCCAGTCTGACCCTGAAAAAACCACCGGGTCCGAAGCAAAACCACCTCAGCTGTGGGCAGTGTGTTTGGTCAACACGTTTGGTATGATCAACTCCAGCAAACTGTGGTTCGTTCATGTTCGTTCCTGAACTGTATGTAGGGAATATGTTCATCCTATTGGGTCCGAGAATTTACGGAAAAAAAGTGCACCACGGCGTGGGCTCGGCTCTTGGTCCGGGCTCGGCTCGGCTAGGCCTCGAAGAAGGTGGGGGTTCCCTTTGCACTGGGGATCTTTGCATGCGTGATGGCACTGAGTATTTTTGCACCTTGGCCACACGGGCGTTTTTTTTTTTAATTTGTGAAATAGCGGAGCTTTCTTTGATACCATCGCGAGAAAACCTTGGACTATTGCACATCCTGTCAAATCCTTGAACGAGAGAATGAACTGTACCAGAGCCGGAGTGACCTCTATTTTCCATTCAATACAGAGATCCACAGAGCTATAGGTATATAAAGTAGTATAGTTCTTATAGCGTTATTTTTCGGCCTCAGGTTTCCAAAAGGGTGGAGTACGTCGGTTCCTTCTTCAAACTCTGTCAGGTGAAGGGCGAGCGTAGCTGTCAGTCATGGTTTGTCAGAAGTTCTTGCTGTCACTCATAGAGGGCGCCTGTGGGCCATATGTCGTCCTTGCGTCAAACATGTTTATGAAAGCGCCAAATCTCTTCATGTTGGAGGAGCGTTTGACTCTCAGGTCTCTTTGGACTACCCTTGGGCTTCGCCCTTTCTCTGCCTGCAGTGCATCTATGTGATCCTTGGTGTCCCGGTTCTCGATTCTTCTAACTCGGGGTATAGCCGCAGATTTGTGTGAAGTTGCAGCGAGCACTTTCAACTGGAAAGCACACTGGAAGATGGAGACAGCAGAAGGATGGAAGTGAAACATGACCGTTGGGGAGCCCATGTTCCTCCGCAATGACCATGCTTTCCATGGTTGTCCCCTTCCAGTGCTGGCAATTTCCCTCATCCGGATTCCAGTGTATGGAGAATCATATTTTTGGGGGGTTCGGTATCGAGTTGATTGGTGGGGGATGACACCCTGGACATTGAGAGTCGACCAAAAGAGAAACGAGTGCGCCTTTTACGGTGTCACTCATCAAAGCCTGCTCCAAAGGGAGGAACGAAGCTGGACGACCTGTGGGCTTGTTCTGTGAACTTTGTTTGTAGCTTCTTGGGAAGGATTTCTGCCGAGAACCAGTAGCCACATCAAGTTATAGAACAATCCTGAAAAGCCAAAGCAGCAAGTTTCCATGGAAATCAATCGATCATATTTGCCCATTTTCAGCTGGTGCCCTCCGACAAGTCACTGGGACGACTGGATTGGGGTCCCCCGTTGTTTTGATGCTTTACCCTTAAAGCCTTAGTCCCCTGTCCATCAGGCAGTTGGGTGGTTTCCAACTAGTTGGCAGATAGTGTTCTTTGAGGCATACCCTTTCCAACAATCATGGAAGTGGATTCCAGGGCCGAGATTGCAGAGGACAACAGTTAATCCAACATGCTTTCGTCCATTCCTCCTTAAGCTTTTACTACTTTGCTATAGCAGACTTTGGACCCATGCCATGCTGTTATCATGCTGAGGTTACATGCGTCGCTCGGCAGCACCTGGGGCGGAGAAAAAAACCTCGACAGGAAGCTCGATCCGGGCGCTGCAGAGAAAACAACTCGACTGGTCAAGGTAGATCATCTTATATAGATCCTTTGGTCTTAATGTTTTCTGTATCTCCCAGCAAGTGCTTGAGCTTTCAGCAAGTCCCGAAAGTCACTCTGTATGTTGCTTCCATGGCTGGGCTCAACAAACTTCCGGCCTCAACAAAGAGCAATAAAGGCGAGCGCAGTTTCAAAGGCATTCAACTTCACCCAGTATTCCAGGCATGCACGGTTGTTGGATGGCGGTGAACCTTCATCGCCCAATCGTGGTTTCCTAGAGTTGATTGATGTTGTTTCCTCGCAGAGATTGCAGTCACAATGGTTTCAGTCGTCTGGGTCCTCCAATCACTGATTGAACCACTGCCCCTCATTGGAGCCAGCTTGAAGTGTGGAACCTCAACGATCCATCGACGAGGCCACCCGGTTCTTGGAGGACGGGGCCTGCTACACCAATAAACGTAGAAACAAATTGGGTTCCTATGAGCAAACTTACGGGTTCGAACAGGTAATTACACCTGTACAGGTATTAATACCCGACCCTCCAAAATTTTTTATGCATTCAGGAATGCTGGTTTGATTTCCACGTTTTTGGTGTAGCAGGTAGATCCATGGAATCCATGGCGGCTGGAATCCTAGGGTATTCTTTCATGCCCGGTTGTATGGTCAGTCAAAACTTCTGGCGGGATTCGTGCCACTCTCAGTTGACTGCACTGAGCGGCAGTGCTGCGTACTGGGCCGAATGTTGCTTCGTACCGGATCCGTGTTGAAATCTTGGTGGGAGTGGCCATCCTGTTTGGATTGTGCAAATCAACGCTTGCACTCACGAGTCACAAAGCAGCTTTAGAGGAAGTGATGTCAACCCACTCAATGAACCAACTCTTTTTCACTCTGCAGCCTTTGGCACCAGCTAAATCAGCTGATAGGTTCTGTTTAGCATGGACCCCCTCCTGGTGGTCAGCACCGTGACTCTTCTTTGGGTCCCATGGCACCTGCGGTTGACGAAGACAGATTTTTGCGACCTGCAAGCATGGATCGGCCTCCTGAAACCCAGCAATGCTGCGGATCAAGGGAAGGACGCGCGCGCCGAAGAAGAAATGGTGAAGCTTCGTCTTCGGAACTACAAGTTGTTTAGCCGCTTCCTATCCCAGGTGTGGGCAGACTGACGGAAGTCTAAGACACATCTCCACCCATATCGGATAGAAAAAGCAATGCATATCGTGGGATATATTGTGGTGTTTTGTGCATCGTTGGTCATAGGTGCAGGCTCTATTCCACCAGCAGTTGTCTCGGTATAATGATGTATGAGGGGTCGCGGGGATGAAGTGCAAACAAATCCTTTGGAAAATGTTTAATCCTTTGATGTTTGGTGATGTGGGGTCATGCAGTTTGACAGTTTGACCAAATTGGCCAGGTGACTCCGATCGTGGGGCTTGGCTTATCTTTTCAGGCCTTGAAGAATCCTGGACTTCATAGCATCTCCTGGGCCAGTAGCTTTGTACTTGCTTCTCCTCTGCACAGACTAGCCAGCCCGCTGGCTAGCCCACTTTTGAATGGGCAGTACGGAAAAAAACATAACACATGTGTTCATAGTTATGCCTTGTTCAGGTGATTCAGCCCGAAAAAGAAACTCGGTGCTTTGCACTTCTTTTTGGGGGCTGACCCAGCTGATGATGGGAATACTAAATTATTGGAATACTAAATATGTAAGAGGCCGCCTTGTGCTTATAGAGAAGTGAAGAAATCCTTGGCAACCAATAGGGGACGACCCAGCACCGATACCCCCATACCCACCAAGATTGTTTTGGTTGTTATTGTTGTTTTGTTTTCGATGGCGGTGAATTGGAATCCAAGGTGCTTTTCAATATGAGTAATTCTGAACCTTAGTGGGTTATGTTGCAAGAGCTATCACACCATTGTCAAGTGAGTTCGCCGATGAGGTTTCATTAATGAACAACAATTGGGTGGTTACACCGTGGACTAAGGGAGCTCTCATGGACAGATCAACCGATACTAACCGATACCATGTTTTGCAGATTTACATGCTTTGGTGCCCCTTGTCGCATTTGAAGGGTGACACTATATTCAGGACCATTGCGGGTGTCTATGCAGATCTCTCATGTTTGTAGCTGCAGTTGTCATTTCTTGGAATCCACATGGTAGAGTAGTTTCACCTGATTGCAATGTTTCCCTACTGGTGTTTACAGTAAGGCGAGCAAAGAAGTACAAGGAGGCATTAGAATATTCTGCAAACATGTACAAATCACCAGATTATGCAGACAACCAAGAGGAAATTAACAAGAATATCGGCAGACTACAACTGAGGAGACTGAGGACTAAACACAAGCAACAACTTTTGGCCAAGAAAAGGCAAAGCATTGTGAAAGCAGGTCACGGTCAGAGCACCAGCTCAGAATCCAGCTCCTCGAGTTCAATGTCAGATAACACCAAGTCAAAAAAAGGAGATGCTACTCTGCTGTTTGCTTCCACAAGCCTTTCACAAGGCACTCGCAGTTTCAAGCCCCGAACTGGAAAGACAACCGCGCAGCAATCAAAGCGCAACATGGCAAGCCCGGCAAGCCCTTCACAACCGATGCTTTTCAAATGACACCATCATGACATCACATTTCAAACGCCTAATTCTTCACAACCGATAGGGGACGACCCAGTTTGGCATCTGGCATATTGCATGAACAAATAAGTTGGTCCGCACCTCACATGTGTTCATAGCCATGCCTTGTTCAGGTGATTCAGCCCGAAAAAGAAACTCGGTGCTTTGCACTTCTTTTTGGGGGGGTGACCCAGCTGATGATGGGAAGTGATCACAGCCAAGGTTTATTGGGTGCATTTGCTGGTGGGAAAAGAACTGGTGACCTTAACGGAGAGGCGCCTGAGACTCTTGACCTATATGCACCACGTTTTGTGTCTCTCCTTGCACATCATGGCTGGAATTGCACATCACTGCAGTACTTTCAACTTCACTTTGGTGGTTGGTTTTAATACCACCATTCGCTTCTTGTACGTTTTGACCTTCATGAATCCCTCGGTGTCGATTCCCTTTCAGCTCCTCCACACTACTGCAGCCTGGACGAGAAGAAACATCAGTTTCTATTGATTGTCAGGTCCCGTTTCAGTCAACAAATCCAAAGAAGAATGCTTGCTTGAGTATTCCCGAGGCAGACATTTTTGATTATCTCATGATCTTTGACGGCTCCCACGTGCAACTCGGTGCCTTATGCTTCTGCGAATTCTTCATTTGCATCGTCAGCATCGCTGGTTCGGTGATCCTAGACTTGGCACTGCGGGGTCGCATCGATGCCAAATTGGACACAGCAGATGCTGAGTCCTTGGTCAGCAGTTTCCGTCGCGTTTTGCGGGGAGTGTGCGACGGTGAAGTCTTGCTGGACGGCGAGATGAATGTGGCCAAAGACACTTGGGCATGCCTGGCACCACTCAGTTTGAATATGTTTCAATGGTGGATGGTAAACTGGTAATGGAGGTACACAAAACGGATGGTTCAGTTGTTGAGTTTTGCTGGGCAAATTCCACATTTGGATTCATTTTGCATGAGCAGTTAATCAAGAGTCAAGAGGATCAAGATGTAAGGAAAGCGAGTGCTTGAAAAACTTGATTCTGACCGATGTGAGCCTGGTTGGGAGAAACTTTAAAGGCTTGCTATCTGCTGATGTCAACCTCTTCAACGAGTTTATCGAGTCCTCCAACGAAGCATTTGGTGATCCCAAAGATTCGCCACCGTCCTGCTTGCGGGTTTCTTTGCCGCCTGCCTGAGATTGCTCCAGAGTGCGTTCCATCATTTCATGACCCTGAACTACAGACCCCCCCAAAGCAGGACCACTAAGGTTCAAAAGACCACCTGGGAAAAGCAAATAGCACAATTTGTATCAATTCTTTTGTTCTTTTCCGATGGAGGTAGGCAAGCCCAAAAGCCAATGTCGATCCCAAGCCAATGTCGACCCCACAGCCTCACACCCACCGACCTCGCACTGAAATCAACTCAGATCAGCTGATGAGCTGATCAACTCGTGTTGTTTTTGTTCATCAACTCGTTAGGCGCGGAGCAGCGGGGATTCGAGTTGCCGCAGATGTGTACCATGTACCAGTTCCAGGACTCTTCGGTGCCGATGCTCCATATCACCTGATTGCTTTCAAGGAGGACCCTAGAGCGTATCCTCGGTGTGGATGCTTTCAAGAAAAAAGGAAAGGAGGTCCTCCAGGGGATTTAATGGGTTTGATGGCTTTAGGGAGGCTGAAGGAGGCTTTCAAGAATTTGTGAGGGTAACTTATGTCGCTGTTGAGGAGATTGACTCTTGCACGCTTTGTACGTGTTTTAGGCTAGAAGAAGGTGGCTCCACCCCACACCTTCGCAGATTTTCTGGAACTGGTCTGCCGCACGCATCGTTTCAATTTAAACAATAGATGGGTACGAGATGGTACGAGAATAGGGTGACCTCCAAAAACCCTACAAGAAAAACACGTACTGTACAGTACTGTAACATAGATTGTTTAGCCAATGGTTGATTAGGGTTTCCCTATGTTCAGGTTCATTATCAGCATCCGGGAAGACTTTTGTACATGTGTCCACAAAATCGCCTATAAGAAATCTCCGGAGACACAAAGAAGTGTTGTTTCTCCTTCGCAGCTTCGGAGTACCTGGATTGAGTCTAGTGAAATGTCTTACGTCGTCTTCGCCTCGGAAAACCGACTGAGCCTCCAGGATCTCGACGCGCGACCTGCGCCGGAAGCGACGGATGCTGCGAGCGACCGAGCGACCGAGCTGTTGACGATGTGCGGCTCTCGGCTGCCGAGCTACCGAGCCTCGGCCTTCGCATCGAGAAGCAGGTGCGTTCGGCAAGCTGTGGACACAGAGATTGGAGGTGCAGTTGGTGTAGTTGTTCCGGGATCAAAGTATAGTAGATAAAATTGTACTTGTAGAAGGAGTATTTGGGTCGTGAACACCTGTGTGCCATCCTGAATTTCTAGCCTTGGAGAAACCACATCAAACCGTGCGAATTCCGAATTCCAGAACGTGTTCTTAAGCATTTTGCGGCCAAATTGGTCGACCACCTCGAGGTCAAATCGATCCGACATGGCTGGAGCGCCACGGCTTGCCGTTCTGCAGAGCTGAGGACATGGAGACTCCGCGTCAATGGCGTCTGGAAGCACACAAAGAAGTGCACAGCTTCTTGGTAGTGCTGGCATGTTGTTCAAGTAAAAATAAGACCCGTCACAAAAGTGGCAGGTTTTGGTGTTTTACTCCAGTGTGATTTTTCTCTTGTTTTGATTCCATAGTACTCTTGTCTTGATTCCATAGTCCAGCAGTATGTTCGTGGTACTCTTGGCTGCTGCTTTTCGAGCCTCAAAGCCTGACATGATGCAGAAGAAATCCGACACCATTTGAGATCTGGAAGGGTCCAATGGATGGTTGACCTTGTATGCGTGGACCTTTTGGATCTCTTAGTGGCTAGATGTGACTAGTGTTTGTCCGATTTCAAGATCATACGAATCATACCCAGTGTTCTGCCACGTGCACACCAATTTAGATATATATCCAATTGACCCTCGTTTTGATAGGAAAGACAATAGTTTGGGTGATTGGTTATCCAAAATAGAGGTCATTCAGGCTCTAGGTATATATATATATATTATATATATAATATATTATTATGTATGGCCTGGACTGGAAGAAACCACGCAAATCCAAGGCTTCTTTGTCCAGAGTTGCAGGAAATGACTTTGCTCCTGGACGTGGATTCTTGGACCATCGGAAAGGGTGATTTTGCAACTCCGGGGCACGCCTCAAAACGGGCGGACCCTCCAGGATGGATGTTTCTCGAACATTCTCTGAACTCAGAAATTATGGTCAAATCAAAAGTATTGTACAGAGACTCTTCAAGATTGATGCTTTTTGAACCCTGGTGATGTTTGATTTATGAACACTTGTCACCCAGAAAAAGCATGAAACAGCCACTCTTGAAGGCTCCAAGTATATCAGCTGATCTTTCTTTGATCCATGGCTGAACCATGCTGGTGGAAACCCGTGTGGGGGGGGGTTGGCCTTTGGTGGTATGAACTTTCATGTTTCCATCATCAGCGTGTTTTCAACATGGTGTGAAAACATCATCGACTCGAGAAATTCAGAGAACACCGAGATTCGCCCCCGTTCTGAACTTCACCCCAGCCTTTTGGTCTCAGCTTCCAACGCCCAGAATCTCAGTGCCAAGAGGAAACCCATTCGGAGGGACCCAGGAGCGGCACCGTTCGTTGGTGTCCAGGAGTCCAAACTCGAGCGTGGTGGTTCAAGGAAGCATTGGCTCCTTGTTGGTGAGACATCTAAGGATTCTGAGCTTCAGGATGTGCTGCAAGCCCACTTGAAGTTTGTTCGTGGAGGAAGCGATCCAAGTCAGCCGGGGTGTGAGCCTCCTATCTTCGGCTTGAACTCTAGCATGCCAAGCTTGCGCCGGCTAGTGAAGCTCGGTCTCAGTCCTTCAGCCGGTCTTGAAGTCATGCCCCTTATGGATCGAATGCATCCCAGGTCAGGAGGTTGGAATTCTCACATCACCCCCCCCCTCACTACCCTCACAACCCTAGGTCCTAGAGGGTTTGGATGTGAAGTTTGGTGGTGGTTCCTACCAACCTATTTGGGGGCATGGTTTCTCCAGAAAGCAAGAAGAGGTGGAAAAGGTTACTGCAACCGTTGAATTCCAGGGAAGCTGAGGGTGTCAGTAGCAAGTCCCAAACACATCACCAATCCCCCATGAGCTCCCCTGGGCAGTGCAGTCGCTGAGGAGTGACAGCTCCCACCATCCCATACGTCTCCAAAAGACAACCTTAACCATACCCCAGACACTCCATCTATGGAATGTATGCCTACATTGACCCCCTAAACCACTGCAACTGCTTGGCCAATGTGGAGTGTTTGGGTACTTGTGGACTTCCCTGTCTCCGACGCGGTCCGCCTGGAGCGCACCAAGGAAGCCCATGGAGTGGGACCAGCTCCAAGGTCAGGTGCGGAGGTTTGTGAATCAGGCGCTGGAGAATCCGCACCTAGCGCCCAAAGCGCTCAAGAAGCTCCTTGGAGCGCTGACGTGAGGTATTCCAAGGTGTTCTAAGGTGTTTAGGTTATGAGTTAATATCATTTTGTCTGCATTTTGGAGGAGCTGCTTGGCAGTTGAGGAATAATTTGGGATGACGTCCCATGACTTTTTTTCGAAATCGTTAAGAGATCCTGCATCATTAATAAGTGTTTATTGGGTTTCGGGAGTCTTTGAACTATTTGCTCATAACAGGTGCCAAAGGTGTTTACTGGAACATGCGAAGAGCACGTGCCATTCCAAAGATCTATCAGATCAGCATGAACTGCCCTATAGAGCTAGGTAAAAAAAAAAGAGCTAGAACGCTCCAGGTTCAATGTGCTTGTCTTCCATTTTCACCGCCTAGGCTCTCTTTGCAGCTCCCAGGGCATGGCGGTCGGGTGATTGCTGGAGAGGCTTCCTTGAAGTGCTTTCCAGGGGCTCGAAGGGTGTCCTGCCAGCACGGGTTGTCTGTTTTTTTCTCAATATACCTAAGCCATCCCAAGCTTCTCTTGCTTCAAATGCCCAGTGGTGGTGGGCTTTCCCCAATCATGTGGGATTTCAGCCGGTGGGTCATTTTGGAGTCTTCTGACCCTTCCAACCCGTCTTCCTCCGCGAACACCCCCGGTGGGTTCGGTTCGGATCAGTGAACTCGTCCGGCGATGTCCCGGTCCGAGTTCGGAGGGGTCGAGGTGGTCCGGTCGTGACCGTCCGAGGTCTGGTTGCATGTGATTGGGCTCCAACCAGAGAAACCTCGGCGTGTGCTGCTGGATGGAATTCAGGAGACATTTGTGGCCCGAGCAAATGAGCCGGTGAGTCCGGCTGGATAGAGAGGAAGATGAGAGAAGCAGGGAAGTGAGAATTCTGTGCCCTCTCTCTCTCTCTTTTTGAAATCGGTCAAACAGTTGTCAAAATGAAACTATATCAGTTAGGCGCCCCGGTACGCAAAACGCAAAACGTAAGGTTCCGCACGTGTAATCCAAAACGTGCAGCCCCCCTCCTAAAATCCAGGCCCCATCCAAATACCTATATGCATTTACTGTCCTCAGGTAAATGCATCTGTGTGGTCTGGAGGTCCACTTTGCGGAAATATGTTCGTCTTTCAATACAGAAGCTATGGGCTACTGCTGGACGCTTTTCTCTCACTCTTGGAAATGCATTTGGGAATTGTTTGTGTCCAAGCTATAGGGCTATGGGGTGCTACTGGATGCATTTTTTCTGGTTCTTGAAAATGCATTTGGGATGTTTCTGTGTTCAATGGCCTTGTTCTGTCTATGCATGAGGAAGTTCCAAAAAACGCATCTGAGCTCCAAAACGTGGGAACGTACGGCTGGAAACGTGAGTTTTAAAAACGCAAGGTTCGATCGCACAAAACGTAAGTAACCAGGCAGCTATAGGGGTACAGGTGTACATCCTCCAGGAGTGCTGACACCATTTGGACTTTGACCCATCACCAAAGACCTGGAGCTATAATACTTTTGAATCATCATGATCATAGTAGCCTGTATCACCTCTAATCACTGGTGGAACCTTTGGTTAGGGCCATCGTCAAAGCAACGAGTCAACGATCTTGAGGGATTGCGTGCACAGTGCGCGCCGCACGACAGAGTTCACTCTGGTGTCACGCTGTTTCAGACGACGTTTGCAAGCATCGCTCTGTGGTGAAAAAGGTGACGTCATGCAATGGTCCAGACCCTGCGAAGAAGCACAGCCAAGTGAGACCACAACAGCTCTAGCAAATCACCGTGCCAGCCCATGTGGGGGATGGGTGGCACCTGGAGCCCGGTCGTTCGTCCACCATTGGTCACGAACGACTGACACCTAGGTCGTGCCCGAAACCGGTCTGGTGACCCACAGCCATGTGGCCGAAGCCGCCGGACGTCCTGTCATCCATTTGGCCCGTACCGGTCCGGTTTCGCCCGTACCGTCGTGGGCTGTAGATGGCCCACCAGACTCCTGGTTGGTTGATGAAACATAAGTAACCTTTGGTGGTGAAGAACCAACATCCGGCATGGTGTCATCGACCCCTCGATGAATTCGATAGACCATGACATCATCCGACCCAGGAAGTAGTCTCTTTCTCAACTGCAGGTCACCCAACTTGGCAGGACACCCCACGTGTCCACGTTGAACAGGTGGAGTTCGTTCGGTTTTCACCGAACTCCTTCCGCGGCGAACCAGAGTCCGACTCGGGTTTCCGTCCGACGGCGCTTTGCCAAGCGTGATGGAAGAAACGCTGGTGCGAAAGACCGGTGTGAAAGACTTCATGGATGGGTAGTTTTTAAATGTTTTTAAGACAATGTCCATGTGGGGGCAGATGTCCATCTCGTTAGGCCTGTGGATTCAGATTTCCAACCAAGGCCCACGTGGGTTGGGCTTGGGGGCTTGAACTTTTCTGGCTTTTGACTAGGAAGCAACCACGATTTATTGGAGAGTGGGACTTCCAGGATGTGCATCAAGTAGCTGATCTACCACCAGACATGTACTGTACATCTCTTCAACTGGAAATCCTGGGGCCTCTCTTCATGGCCAATGGCCCCCTGATGAAGGTGCTGAATGCTGTTTCGGAACGATGATTCCATTTTGGGTTGACTTGTTTGAGTTGGTGACTCAAGAGCATCATCATAACAAATATACAACACAAAATCAACCAAAACACATCCCATCCCTCTCCTCTAAAACACGCACATGCACATGCCGGCCTTTCTGCGCCCTCTCTCGGCGGACGAGGCATTCAGCTCTTCTCCATGGTGCCGACCAAGGACTTCTTCACTGCGGCCGCCATGAGCCACCCGGCGGGTTCCCATGTTGGCCAATTTGTTTTGTGATTGTAGTTACTGTAATTGATGAAACTCCAAATTGTAGGCAAGGCACGGCAAGGCATTAGCGACGGGTATATGAGAGACATATCGCTTTACTTACAAGACCGTGCGATCTATCCTCATGTGGCAAGATCCTCTTTTACTCTCTTTTACTTCCATTCCAACAAACACTCCTCGCACTGGTCATCTCCGCGCTTGTGAGGCTTTAGCATTTGTGGAACCATCATGCTGGCCGTTTGGATTGGATGGCGGATGAACATCCACTTTGATCTGTTTCTCGGACGACCACTGGCGCGAAGTCGGGTCGCGCGAGGTCGCGGGACCCGGAGGTCGCGGGACCGTGCTTTGGACGGACTAGAATTAGTAGTCACTTCTGAGGTATGTTGGATATGGGATGTGGTACTGGGTGTGGATCAAGAAGTTTGATAACCTGTCCCAACTTGGTGTTCATTCCTATTTGTTTCCAGTCACAGGCAATCAGCCATTCTCACAATGCTTGGGTAAAGGACGGGAAAGATCTGGGGTGTAAATATGATCATCATCAATGTTTGTGCATTGGGATGTCTCGATGTCAAGACCTACCAGGCTGCATGGTTGGGTCTGTTTTTTTCCTTGGCAAGTGTGATTGAACGCCAACGCCATGGAAAGAAGGCTGAACAATGGATGAGTTGCCAGGAACGACCAGATGAACTGCAACTGCCTGTTCGAGTTGTTGTGTGTTTGGTACTGCTGGATAACACTATTGTCCAATTGTCCAAACTCATTTGCAAGATACAACCCAAGAACAACCATCATCTAATTACAGCTGAACATTTGACAGCTGAGCTGTTGGTTGTCAGTTGTCAGCAGTGGCCCATTGATTCTAGAAGTGTTTGCATGTGTTTGCTTAAGATTTACTATAATTCAATTCTACAGGCCTTAGCATTGGTTCGTTCTGATTGCTGGGGGCCACTGGGACCTGGACCCGATCTGGGCCCTCTGGGGCTGTCTGGGCCCTCTGGGGCTGTCTGCCTGCAGGGGCCTGGGGCAAGTGGAATTCATCCAAGATACATTCACCGCAGAAACGAGGATTCATTCCCTGGCGATCCACTGCCATCTTCTTTTTCACGAAGGTACGAAGTCCATGTCTCGAACGCATGACCCGGGCACTGAACGAGAGGGGCAGTGGATTCGCAGGGAATCTCTCAACATGTTGGCCCTTTACTGTTCTTCGAACCTTTCCAGGACTGCTCGGGGACATCGGATTTCCAACTGTTTGCTCTGAGGTTCAATTGGGAGTTTGATGTCTTCTTCGCCACGCAGAACGACGAGCTGCTGCTGTATTTGGCGCGAGATCTGGACGCTTGGATGGAGATGAAAGGGAGGGCATGATGAGGTGGAACATGGCGGAACATAGTTCTTTATGAAACATGTTGATCAGAAGGTATAGCAAGGTTGTCAGGTCCTCATTGACCTGAATGGACTTACCACTGCTAACTTTAGATCACCATGAATTCATCACAGATGTTGGACGACCCCGTGACGTGAGTGGAGAATGGTCACCCCTACCCTCCTAGAATGGCATATGAAAGCACCCTGAAGTCATCATGGAAGCAGAAAACCACTGATGTTTTCAGTTGTATATAAATCTCGATTGTTTGTGGATACGACCGTGCTCGTTTGGAGCAAGAAGGAATTGTCCTTCGGGAAAGCCTCCATACTCCAGACACAAATCCAGATCCAATACTGCAAGCACTATGGTAGGAAACGACCGTGCTCCAAAAGGTAATTCTTGGACCCAGTATATATCCACACCAAAGACATTACTTTAACTGGTATCCAGTGATGACTTAGTCATTGAGTTCAACGCGATGGCAATTTTCTTTGAGCCTGGTACATTTGGCTCTTGAGGTGGTGAGGAGATCCAGCCCTCAAGTGAGATGTTCTTCAGTTCCAGGAAAGCCAGATGGTATTACTGCGAGCCAGGAAGGAACAGTACATGAACAAATACCAGAAAAAAAAGCCAATGTTCTATATATAAATATCCTGTATACATACTTGAGATGGGATATATTCAGTATGTGTCCTCGTTGGATCCAATGAATGCATCCTTGGCAACAGAAGCCGCACAAAACGCAGCCAGTGCTTTCCAGAACAAACTGCCAACCCGCCAGCCTCACGAAGCCAGGATTTCCAGTTGAACTACACTGGCCATTGTGCCTTTGACTGGGCACTTGCAACGACGAGAGATGCTTGGGAGGAGGTGTGGGAGACCACATGCAAGGGCTTTGATTGAGAGGAGCACACTTCCGGAGTTCAAGATTCGATACTGTTGGGAGTTGAAACCCTGAGAAGTACCAGGAAAACACTGTTTGGGTTGGCGGAAAGCTACAATATGGAAAGCTACCATATACGTGTTGTTTTGTTTGCACAATTTGGTTTGAATCTCGTCCAGTTTGCTCGCGAGTCCACACAGCAGTAGATGCACCTGCACTGAAAAACCTGGTTGTTGCCCTTTGGGAATAGATGTTTGCTTTGTTGGAGATTCCTCTCACTACTGCAAAGATGGAACACACTTGAACCATCTTGAAGTCTAAACATATGAGCCACGTGCTTCGGAACACCCTTTCTTTGCAGTTCTTGCAGCTGCTCCAACAGACATACTGGGTACTTGTATCAGTTTGACGAGAGCATGATGTGTTCGACACGTTGGACACTGGCCTTTTGATTCTTCGGCGAAGTGAGGGTGCTTGAATCATACGGTGAAGCGAAGGTGGCAGGGAATCCCTGGGGTCGAGGCGATACCCTGCCTCTTTTCGAATCCAGGCACTGATCGGGTGACAAACCGTCGGATACACAAGAACCCCTGGAGCACGCACACCACAGCCTCGGATGCTGTCGCCACCAAGGCCTTATGACCAACAGTTCCCTGTATGAGGAACATGTGCGGGAGGTCATCGGTGGTGCCTGCGACACCCTCAACAATGTCCTTCAGATGCGACTGGGTGCAACGCGGAGGGGTCACGAACAGCACACCAACTGGGCGAAGACACGGTTCCCTCCATAGCCCTGATGGATGATGTAGGGAACCCAGCGTGGCCGGCGCAACGGCGGGAGGCCCAGGCAATTTCTCATGTCTTGTGCACGGGACATATACTGACATCAGGTGCATAGAGTTGAGACGTCTCCATGCAAA